AGCTTAAATGGACTGCCATGGGGAGAAAGTGATTATCAAGTGGTGGTGGAGGATGATTTGGGCAATGAAGATTCTGGAGTGTGGCAAAAATTCACAGGGGGCTCTTCAGGGCGCACACTCAAGTCAGTCACAGTTTGAAGAGCTGAACACACAAGGCTGCTCTGCTAGCAAAGATAACAAATGTTGGCAAACAACAAACCCCAAACTGTTGTGTTTGCAGCAGTTGAAGTATTCCTGTCTGTCCCTCATAGGTAAAACTAACAGCATGCAATCACTCATTATTATGTTGGATCATCATTACCTGCTCGACTTACCCCTGACTTTCTTTCTTTATTCCATTTATTCCTTTTTCTCTCTTTTCAAACTCTCAGATGAGAAGAGAAAACTCCTTGTCATTTTCACTGAGTGGTTTTCATAGAGAAACATTTGCACAGCAATAATGTGCACTTGAAACTAAGCAATGCAATTCAACTAAGTACTGTAAAATGGGTCTCGATTAGGGAGGTTTCCTACTGCCAATGATAACTTTACACAATCAGAACAAATGCTGCAGTTTGAAGTTTCTCAGATGGGGTCTCCTGCTGGACTTGTCCCCCAAGCAGTAATCTGACTTGTCTGTTGACAAAAAGCAACTCTAGTTGAAGAGTTCAACCAGTGAACCAACCATCCAAGTAAAACAACCTACCGATGAACCAACCAACCAACCAACCAACCAACCAACCAACCAACCAACCAACCCAATAAACTAACCAAACTTTCAACCAACCAACCAACCAGCCAACCAACCAGCCAACCAACCAACCAACCAACCAACCAACCAACCAACCAACCAACCAACCAACCAACCAACCAACCAACCAACCAACCAACCAGACAACAGACTAACCAAATCACACCAACCATTAACCAACCAACTTTTAAGAAACCAAACCAACCAACCAAATCAAACCAACAAATTTAACCAACCAAGAATTGATCCTAATCAACCAACTTACCAACCAAACAAGCAAGCAAACAACCAACAAATTAACTAACCAACCAATGATCTGAATCAATTTACGAACCAACCATCTGAGTCAAAAAAAACAACCAACCAACCAACCAACCTACCTACCTACCTACCTTATATCGCTCCACTTCACAACGAATGTTATCCCGAGACATTGGTAGGTTACAGGCAGAAGCCTTGAGCAGAACCAGACTTATGGTAGACAGTCATCCGGCGCTGTATGTGTTAATTGTCCTACTACATCAGTTAGGATTCACTGATTTGGAGTGACCCAATATTAATCCAACAAAAACAGGTACAAAATTTGGCAACATCGACAAGGACCATTTTTCTTCCAACAGGCAGAAACCTCAAAACATGCAAAATGATGATCGGCTATCAGATCAGCTGTCAGACAGAGAAACAGAAAAAGAGAGTAAACATAGAGACATAAGATGATATGAAACATAAGATGATACAGTCAGTGTAAATAATAGTGTTGAAACTGGTGAAATGTAAGCTACATAAACTTTAGTCACATTAATGTATTATAGGTATGACTTATGACTGTTGTAATAGCAGTTCAAGTTAAACAGGTCAAACAGCAGCACCATTATGATAACAAGTGAAAAACTAGTAACCGCGACCACAGAGACGCTCTCTCTATAAACGCAGCCCTGAGGGAAAGTGGCCTGAGCTTGAACTTGACCTGGATAGGAGAGGAAATGGAAACAATCAGTTTGGTTTTTCTTTTCTCCTCTTTTTTGTTGTTGTTATTACTTTAGCTCAAAAGAATTGTTTACCAGCTCAGGCTAACCAACCCACTCCTCAGCTACTTTGATTGATGCATGAGGCATCACTATGGCAACCATCGTGCAGGAATGATAAGTGACTTTGGCAGGAGAGTGTATCCTTCTGGATTATTAAGACCACCTCGGGGTTGAGTGAGTGTATTGGTATAAATACGAGTGAGCAGTGATGAGCTGTTCCCGGCGAGACGCTCCGCATGCTGCTGCCTCCCACTCTAGGGTTAATCGGGTTAGAAAGTATCATGACTGAGCGGAGGACAAGAATACATGCAGCCCCCTGCAGGTGTGGAGTATAAGCAGTGCACATGGAGGCCTGCGCACTCAGATCTTGAGCCTACACTTTGTGATGCATAGTGACAGGCGGTTGATGGAAACTGCCGTGAGAAATTAAAAGACAGACAGACTCTGCAGTGTAAAGGAATTGGAGGGAGAAAAATGTTAAGTTATGCTTGCCAACAGCAGCTGTTTAAATGCAATTAGGTCCCACCAGGATACAAAATGACTCCAGTGTTTGGTGACTGGTTAGTGTGACTCAGTGTGACTCTCAGTAATGGAAAGACCTGTCACATTCAGAGCTCAGACCCTTCATTTTCACAGCGCAGTGCCTCCATTTTTTTTTTTTCTTTTTCACCCTCGAAGCACAAACGGGAGCTCATTGGATGCTGCACTTAAGCACTGAAACCCAGCTGGTTCCAGGAGGCACAAGTGAGGGCTTTGTATGCTGCGTCCAGTAGAACCACTACACCCTCTACTGGTTGAAAGGTAAAGCGCAGGTGTTTGGGACTTGAGGGGGAAGAATCAGCTGTGGTGAGGCTGGGAATGAGAAAAAAAGTGGGAAACCTAAGAGAAACACAATTTTTATTATGTGTAAAACTGAAAACCTGAGTGAATCCATTTGTGAGGCAAACTGGCGTGACGGGATTAAATATAACAGGATTATTGTTCACTGACTCTCGACATGATTCGTGTTTAATTATCTTACAGTTGTCCCACCATGTTACACAAACTAACGGTACAGACCTTTTTCTATATGTCTACATGAAATAAGTCAGAATTTTCCTGTCAACACCAATAAATGTTTTTTAGTAATAAAGATGTGCCCTCTGAGGTGTCTGGATTTCTAGGATTTGGAAAAGTTGACCCTTACGATTACTTAGATTACTTAGTTATAAATAAAAATACGTTTTTGTCAAATCTGACAGCCTTTAGGTGATCCATTTGTAATATAAATAATAGAAATCATTTATCATCAGTGTGTATATATCCCACAGAGATGTCTGTAGTGCTGCCCACACCACGCAGGCTCTTGGCGTAGTTTATGTAAATGGAGAATGTAAGCTGTGGGAAGGGCAATGGAAATCTCTCTACGAGACAACAAGGCTGCCTGTTGCAGTTGATAAATCACTTTCTTACAGTTCCCAAGTGCATCTCTTTAACGCTTCATGCATTTTGAGTAGTGAAGCTACGCAGCTGCTCTCTGAATGAATGAGAGGCAATTTTTACCAAACAGAGACAGAGTTTGGAGGCAGGGATCCTCGCATATATCACTCACTTTGACAGAGAATTACAGATAACCATGGCGTGCTTGTAATAGACAAACAGAAAACATGATCATGAATTGCTACAGGTGCACCTTTTAAAGTAAAAATGTGATTCATCCTAGACTAAGGCAGGACAAAGCACCTGCCCACAGCGCCACAACTCCAACCAAACTGTCTAAGATATGACTGTTATTGATTGAACTACTGACCAGCCAAGACACATGTAGCAGTAATTTATAATCAAGGATCCTAGCAAAGAAAAAGGTGCATAAATTAGGATGACCATAATCTGACTTCCCAAAAAGAGGACATTACTACGCAGGGGCGGAGTCACGAAGTCCCATGAAGTTAATTTTGAGAGTTTTTCAGGTCGGATCGAGTGTCTTTTAAGCGCTTCTAACTCAGTCAGTCCACATGACACAAAATCTAAACTCTCGTATAAAACTGCGGACATTTACAGGATTTAATCAACCTCCCCAGACAAGCCCTGACAGCTCCCCAACAAAGAGGACATGTCCATGTAAAAGAGGACATATGGTCACTCTAGAATAAATGAACATACTTTAAACAAGTTGGACTTTGCAGTGCTTAAAATCTTGTCCGGGTTTTGGACCTTAATGAGCTGTTAGTCATTGTCAGCAAAATTGGATTTTCCTGTTGCAGTAAGCACTTATTTCTGGTCAAGACTTAGTTTTCAGTTTTTATCTATTCAAGCTTTTATTTCTCCAGCTGAATTGCAAAACAGATGCAGACAGCCAGTGGATAAATTGAAAGCAAACTGCCTGTGAGATACAAAAACAAAGACCTACAGATAAACCGAGGAGCAGAAAAACAGGCCAAAGAAGTGGCACAGACAGGTAGGCAGGAAGCCACAAACAGACACACATTTTTCAGTCTGAGTCAGCTGTGGGCTCAGGATGAAACGTCTGCCAGTATCATATTCTGCACGCACATGCTCTGAGCCAACGCTGTGTTCACCTGCTATTTGAGACAGTAAAACACCAACACACACACGCGCTTCCTCTCTTTCTACCACATTAATATCTACATGAGAATTTAAGACCTACACTTAAAGGCATCTTTGTGTCCTCAGAGCAAACACGTTTTCAGTGCAAGAATGAAACATTGTGCCAACACCGGCATGCAAATACATCTTGTGTTTGTCGTATGCATGATTGAATATGCAGGTTTATGAATGATGCATGCATGACTTGCGCAGACATGATTTAAAGATTGTGTCACAGTGAACCAGGAGTGGAACATAAACGCGTCACTCCCAGTCCTGAGAGCGGGTGATGGGTGACCTTGAACATAACTCTGTGTAAGTTGTCATCATAGAGGAGCAGGACCTCTCCTGCTATAAATTAGACCACTACTACCAGATATACGCAAGGAGGATGAAACAGCGGGTATTTTGTCATATTACTGCCAAATTGAAATTCTAATTAGATTAGTTTATACATCTAAATCTAGACCCTACATAACTGCATATTATATCACCCAAACGGACCTTTGTTTTATATTTTGGCGATTGTTTTTTTTAATCAGTGATACTGAACCTCAGATTTCAGACTTGAATGTCTATATTTATGATTTATAAAAGGTCACTATGTAAGGTTTTACAGTTGCTACCATTCAGCATTGAAAACCCAACAGTAGAAGTAAGAACTGTAATACTTTTAATCATTTCTTTACAATTTTGTACAAAAAAGATACAAATCTTTTTGCTCGATCACCTGATCAGGATTTTCTTTCATGTAACAAGTAAGTTCAGCTTTTATAGCATATATACTGTAGGCAGCGGGCTGGAGCTTCCAGTTCAAAGTCATATATACTCATCTTCATTTGGCTGATTAAACAGAGCGGGATCAGCTTCCTCAGAAAACACGTACAAAAGGTGATGCATCTGTTCCTTTTTGTCTCTTATCAAATTTTCCTGCAGATTGCAGCAATAGATGAGTTTCTCTATTTCTTCTATAATAAAATTCCTTTTCATGTCACAAAAAAATACATATGCTTGTTGAATACAGTCCAGCTGACTTGCGTTCAATGCCAGGTCACCAAGGTGGACATAAAAAATATCCAGTTGTTTAATCTGTAAAGAGGATATTAGTGTTTTTGAGCATCTTTGGTTTTTACGTTGGTCCCTTTACAGGCCTCTCCGAATGCTCGCTGCCCCTTTATGTCCTTTACCTGAAAAGTACTGAGAGGATTAAAAAGGCACTGATTTTACACACGTAATTATTTGTGCATAGATATAGATAAAGTGCAGAAGTTTTTGGTACAAAAAAAAAGCTTTATAATGGAAATTCCCTGTTTGTTTATGACTTGATCCAGTCCTTAAAGCTTGTTAAAGAAATGTAAATAGTCAGTCTCTGCTGTTCATATTCATGTTCCAAACACGTCCACGTCTTGTTTCATCTTAACAATTTTCCAGTTTGCACTTCGTCGTTCACCTCTGACGTTTTCACAGCAAACGTTACATCCACCGGGATTCTCCCTCTCCTAGCCACTTGGTTGTAATTCCTCCTCCCGCCCTTAAGAGGGCGGTGTTTCTGTCGAGCTCTACTTCTCATCCACCACGAAGATTTCTTCGGGGATCTTCTCCTCTGAGTCGGAGCGTTCAGACAGCTTGTCCAGGTACTCCATGTCGTTGAAACGCTCGGCGACACACTGCGCCGTGAGACGGGCCTCTGGGTCATGGTCCCAGCAGTCCTCTATGGAGGCGCACACCACCTGGATGCCCTGCAGGGGGAGCAGTGGAAGACAAAGGCTGTCAATACGAGACATAAAAGTTGTACCATCACCTCTGATTGTGTTATCTGTCCTTGTTTATGTACTGGTGAATTTTTTTTATTGAAAAAGGAGGAATCAAAGAAGATCCTGTAGAATTTCGCTGTTAGAGAGGTGCTGATGATCATGTAGAAGCTGTAGGTTGTGATGCTGTTGAGCTGCAATCAGCCTACCCACACAGCTATAAATAAAGTGGACAGAATAACAGAAACACACTGTTAATTCCCGCTCTTCTCTGGACTATTGGCAGGTACTGACTATGGTTGATTGGCCCACTGAATTGTTTATCCTGTTTCCCGGTGTGTTATTTGAAGCTGGCCGTGGATCAGAGGTAGAGCATATCGACCACAAATCGGAGGATCTGTGGGTTCAGTCTTTATTTCTCCTGTCTATATATCGAAGCGTCTTGGGGGAAGATACTGAACCCCTAATTGCACCTGGTGAAGAAGTGTCCTCTACTAGACGAGGAGAGGAGAAATGGTAAGAAAAATAAACATCTATGAACTTAATTTAACCTCCAAATCAACATAAGAAAATGTTCAGGTGTGGACTGTTTCAACCTGAGGGAACTTCAATGTTATATCTGAATAAAACTGTATGTAAGTGTCCATCATGGCTGTATTTCTGCCTCTAACCTCACAATGGGAGAAGTTGGAGGCACATTGCTGATATTTATGAGAAGTAATTAAATCAAAAGTGAAGTCAAAGGCAGATGAAGCCATCATCTCATTAATTCTAATTGTCCCTAATTTGTACTTCTTTACAACAGTCTAACATCGCAGACCTTTCATTGCACTTGATTTCATTCCCATTTGTGTGTGTGAGACATTAACTGTAGCTGTTCTAGCACCAGATTAACATTTTTAAACTGAGTGCATTTACTGTTTACTAAAGATCCAATCTACCTGTGTTTTACACCTTTACTCATTTATTAAGAGTGATGGAACTTTTACTGCAAGTTTTACATTAGTGCAGTAATTACAGACCCTTTTTTTAATTTCAGACTTTTTTTTTTTTTTTGGGGGGGGGGGGGGGGGGGACACTCCACAGTTTTTTCAGAATGAGGCTACATTTAAAAAAAGAAGAAAGAACAAGATATACCCAGGATTCCTACACTGCTGGAATTTCCAAACTTCTCGATATCCTACTTTTTAAAATTATTTTTGGAAATCTACCTTTCTATTAAAAAAACAAAACAGTGTTTTAGCGTTTTAATAGTCTGGAAACACTTTATCTGTGATGTTTTATAATCATACAGTGTAAATTTTTATCTCTTTTATGGACTTCCTCAGTTTTCAGGGACTTGTCTACATGTATTTCTCTTAACGTACAGTAGTTCATTTAACTTATTCTCTTTTTACTTCTTATTTCTCAACATCTTATATATTTCAAGATCTACAAAACCCAAATTCCAGCACTTACTTGTTTTTATTTTTTCACTATTTTTGTTTTAGCTCCAGAATTTGTTATTTAAACACAGTAATAGGAATATCCAGCAGTCGACAGGGTCTTGAGGGAAACAGGGTGTTAATAGAAATCTTGAGTATAATAGTCTGAAAACACAAGTACTTTTCCATACTTTATTTTTCAATTCCCATACTTTTTAAAACATGGAAATTGATCCAATTTATTTCCATACTTTCCAATCTTTAGTCCTACATGACTGCACTTGTTCACAGATGATGTTTCAGGGCAGTATGTATGTATGTATGTCTGTCTGTCTGTATGTATGTATGTATGTATGTATGTATGTATGTATGTCTGTATGTCTGTATGTATGTATGGCGCCTCTTACAGTGTGGTTGATCCAGCTGTTGGGGATCTCAGGTCGCCCTCTGTCTCGGAGAACGCTGTCCTTCATGCTCTCCACACACGGGTGTTCCCTCAGGTTCCCAAAGGGCGGCACGTACTCTTTCACCTCTGTGTGAACACAAACACACCGGAAAAATACACAGAAAACTTCGTCACTGACATTTTGAAAGCGGTGAACTCTCAGTTTTATTATACGAGCAAAGAACTCTGAGGCAGGTTCCCTGCTACTACTAAAAGATACAGCTCTGTGAAGAAGAGGGACTAGATCAGATGGCAGAGTCCCACAGCGCTCACATCAACAACACCTCTCAAAGGATTCACTGTGCGCTCTAAATTAAAACTGCAGGTTGCAACTTTAAATAGCATCCAAGCAGCACAAACAACCTCAGAATCCTCTGCTGCTGAAGAAAGGCCGAGGGGAAGATTTGCTGAAGAGAAACACTTATTATTATCACATTTTTACCCTCAGCGTCAAGGAGCTTAAAGTATCTCACCAGTGCAGCTCTGGCTTTGTGTCAGCTCTCTTACACAACATCGTCCGGAGTGCTTGTCGGGGCAATTTAGCCATAGAGTTTACTCTGGGTGAGATTTCAAAGCCCTGGCGTGGAGAATATAGTCTGAGAGCTGTAGGGTCAAGAGTTTCCACACACGAGTTCTCTTTTTGTGAGTCTTCAGAGTAAAACAACAAATCAAACTCCAATTTACTTTGAAGCGTGAAGGGCTCGATTAAAGAAAACACACGTTTCAGAGATTCGCTCGAGATCAGAACAGACCCAGATCAGATGAGGCACAAGACTGAGAGGAGATTGTTGAAGTAAATTATTCTCAGGTTCGTGAGATGACCAGGAGATGAAACAGCAGACAAAGACAAGGAGACCAGACGGAGACAGATGAACAACTTTGGAGAGAAAACAGATCAAGTTTATTTTGGGCGGCTTCAAAACTTTAAACCAAGTTTCTGCTTTGACGATTGATGATTCCTCTCAAATGAGAATGGACACCTTTATAATTTCCCCTCCTTTAAAGTCAAACATATCCTCTGAGAGCGCATGCTGAATAGTATTACTTAAGTTTTCAGCTCTAAATACAAGCTCGGACATGACAGAGTGAGCTGACAGAACCCGTTATTGCACAACGATGATAAAAGTATTAAGTTGGGAAAGTGTGAGCCTGAGTAAGAACTGATGACGAATGATGAGGACGTCAGTGACAAACAAACACGGGTTCAGTTTTAGAGGTTGTACCTCTAGTTAACAAAGCAGCATGCCTTGGCTTGTCAGGGAGCACAGAGTCCCCAGTGAGGCTGGGGTGGCGCTGATTTGAAAGATGTAACAGAAGTGAATCGTGTATTTGGTGCAGAGGCTATAATCCTTGTTGCAGCAATTGATCGTTCAACTCCCGGCCATGCTGTCCTATCTAGTAAAAGCAAAAACTAACTTCAAGTGATGTGAAGCAATACTCCACGGCCGCAGGTAGGATCATGAAGTTGTGTGTCCTGCGTCTTGTAAGCTGACTTTCCTCTCAGGATTGTCAAAATATCTGTCTTTCAGTTTCTCCATTTATCTCTGTCCATCCATGGACAACATTAAAGTCCAACCCTGAGTAACCCCACGCATTAGGGCTGGGCGATACGGCCTCAAATCAATATCACAATATATTGAGCAGTTTCCCTCAATAACGATAAATGGACGATAACTACACCACAAGCTGCTCACCCCCTCCCACATTAACTTCACCTACTTCAGCCTCACCTGTCTTTCCCTCTTTGATACAGACTGGATGGGGTGGAGTCATGTCTCTGATGTAGGACAGTGTCTTAAAGTGACATGAGACCACAACCTACCTACACACATCCAGAACCAACTTTTATTCATTTATTTTTTTTGACACTGAATATATTGACATGGGCAAGAAGACGTCGGTTATTGTCGTAAATTTAAGTATCGGTAAATTTTCGGTTTATCGCCCAGCCCTACCACACACCCACTCTAGAGTTTACAGGTGATTCAGCACGGGCTGGATGTTACATTTCCTCTTGGCATCCATCAAACTGTTTTATAACCAGGACTGAAACACAAAAACAACTTGCACTCATGCTCATTTTCAACATCTTGCGAGCATTAGCCACTGAATGTAATCTGAGATCATCCACTGATTAGTTTAAAAGCTGAACCACACAGAGGTTTCGTTTTCACTCGTGCTGAAAACTCTCAGAGGAAGTCGAAGCTCACAGACATCGACCTGTCTGACTCTTCGGGGACTTTGATGAACGCAAAACAGACAAAAACTGAACTTCCTTTTTTCTATTTACAGGCACAGTTTCTCTGGTTTTGGTGTTAAAACTTAAACTGAGCGTCAGCCAAACACCTTTCAGTATTTCAGCGTGAAGGAGACAGATGTTTCGTTTTGTTTTGACAGCTCTGAGGAAGTGTACAACTGTACTCTGGACTGAAACCCACTCTGTAAACTGTTGTGCAAACATGTTTGTGTGTTCATCTCCAAACAATGAGGCCAAAAAAAAAAAAAAAAATGATGAATCTCTCGGAGAACTTGCAGAGTAAACAAAAGTGTGTACTCCAGGGTGGAAAGATTGGTCAATCTTGCTCCAAAAGTAAAGATGGGTTTTCCAGGCAAAACCGTGAATTAAAGTCTGAACTGGCGAAAGCTTTCTGTAAACACAGCACAGGACGGGAGGGGGGTGTAATGCTGTGCTGTGCAGAAGTCGTACGCTGCATATTGACAAGATTTCTGCGAAGCAATATGACACGTTCAGCAGAGTAACAATGGGGAACTTACACTGTGTCTCCTACGACAGCTGACACGCAGAGATGTGAGCTTCACACAGCGCGCACATATTTCATCCTTAATGCCTGTTTCTCACGCCGCCTGTCAGGCACGGCTGCACAAACTGTCGGAGGATCTGCAGCCAAGAGAAGCTCTGTTAAATTAAGCTACAGTTTAAGACTGCGGACACTTCCTCGTAAATGTCGCCCCTCAGTGGCTTTATGATCTATAACCGTGAGAGGGCAGTCATGTTTGCGCAGGATTGTCAGGGGAGAGCAGAGGCCAGGTTCACAGAGATAAAGTCCACCGCTCTCAAACTTCACGACTGTCTTGAATTTTTAAGTTTGATTCAAGTTTGAACAATAATAGAGGCAAAAACCCGCTGAACGGTCCAACTATAAAAGCTCTAGTGAGTCTTTTTTAGCTGGAAATTGTGGAAACCTTAACTGTTTTGTGAGATGAATAATTTTGACATCTTTATACAAGCTGAGTGCTGATCTGAACTCCAGCTCAGCTATGAACTGACATTTCCTTTTTTCATTATAACACAAATACATATAGTACGTATATTTATAGTCCAAATCCACCAAACAGACAGGAAAGAAACACTAAATCCTTCCTGCACGGTTGAAAACTCACATAATAAGCGCCTGCATTTGAAATATTGTTTGATATTCTTGTCCCGCTGCCCTCCTGAGCTCACATTCTTCTCTAATTCTGCTCAACAAAGCATAAATACAGAAAACAGAAGAGAAACCCGTCACCTAAACACATAAATAATGCAGAGAAATAGCTCCCCGCAGAGCTACAACATGTGTTTGGAAATAAATTAGTAACATGATCACAATAACATCGTCAAGACTCTCGGAGTCTGGAACAAAAATCATGAGTGATCCCTCTCTCTCAGCCTTCCTCGGCTGGTTTTCATTAGCCTGCGGTGGCTCTGACACTTGTTTGTGTTCCTCGCAGGTTGTTAAAGTCATTTAGTACAGATGTATGTATGAGGGTTACATGTTAGCAGGACTTAGTTGTGGACATGTGGTGCTGACTCACCCTTTCTAATTTTAGCAGACATATTTTCTATTATTAAAAAACCCCAAATCCAGGATTCGCCCCTGAATGTGGACTATGGTAGACCCCACATACACCAGACGTTTAGCCCTAAAGGAGTCGACAGTCTGACATCTGGAGAGCAGCTGCCCTCACCTCTTCTCCTCTCTCGTCTAGCCCAACCTCTTCCTCTGGGAATGAAGGCATTTCTCCCTCTGCAGCTCCACATACAACAACACCGCTCCACCATTATCCCTCTACATAACCCCACCCGCCCGAGGAACGCCCTCGTAGTCTCTCCAAGCCCTAAATCTGGATCGGCTAAATTATACAGGAGAGACATTTTAGAGAACAGAGGCAGAGATAAAAAAAGGACTGAGGCTTTGAATCCAGATCCTGCTTCCTTCTGAGATGCGTCGATCTCTCAGTTCTCAACGTTTCCTCGGTCTTTATAGTCGGAGGAGATGAAGACTGAAAAGTGATGGCTCATGGCTGGCTGACTGGCGCTGACGACAGCCGGCTGTGTTCTTCTCGCCTGGCAGATCTCAGATCAGACCACGGCCTCAGGAGCTGTGACGGGGAGCTATGTGGCACAGAGAGCTGATCAGACATCTGTCGTCTCCTCGCACACGCATGTACACAGAAAGTTTTCAGCAGAGACGAGAGGAAAGCAGGGCTTCACCCTCAGTCATTATAATGACGCCCTGGGATGTGTCACCATGAATTTCAGCGGGTAGCATACATGTGTTCTTGTTTTGTCTCTTGTGAGGTGAGTTTTTCGGGGTGTTTTTGTGACTCACTGACTTCCAGGAACATGTTGGCAACTTGAGGAAAAACAAGAAGCGTGAAAGCTTGAAAGTCTTCGAGACCAGTCTGTAAACATGTCAGATTCACTCTCATAGGGCTCTGATTTCAGAATCAATACCAGATTTCTGCCAGCGCAGGAGAATTATTTTTCCCAACTGTCTGCATCTCATTTACGAACCTCATTCTTCCCACTTCCCTCAGGGTCCGTCGAGGCAGGAGTCCGCCTGTGCTTTTTCTTCAATCCTAACCTTCTCCGCAGGAGAATTTCTCCTTGGATTTTAGTCCTAATGACCCGCAGATTTCACCCCTCTGCTCCACTTGAAGAGATGCCAAGTTCAGATAAAACTAATGGAGTGATACAAAAATACACACTCTATATTCCAGCTGTCTCTATCTTAAATCTCTATTCTGGTCTGTTTCACCTCACTCCAGTAAATCCAAGCGTGCCCTGTCTGTCTGCGCCGACATGAGTAAAGCTCGATGTCTTTCTACTGTGCAGCAGTGCAGTGGGAGAGTAATTAACTGCTGCCTCACCTGCCTGAGGGAAGAAGGGGAGGAAGACAGACAAGCACGGAGAGAGAGAGGGGGAGAGTGTAGAGAGAGCGAGAGCTGAAAAGTTTGGATTCAAAGAGCGGCACAGTTTCTGCGTGAGGAGCGAGTGAAGTTAGCGTCTGTGCGAAGGCTTTTTATTTGTCCACATCTGAATACATGTCAAGTAAAAGAAGACATGGCATGGACTGAGGCGGATGAGTAGGATGAATGGAGCTGCTGTCCTGCAAACCTCCAAAAAAGGAAATGGCAAAGCCGCAGAACCCTTCACCCAGTGAGCCTGGATTCATTTAGTCCATCTTCACCAACTTGTATCCTGTCTACTCCGGTCTCAGGAGATGTTCCCCACAAAACATCCTCATTTAAAGCAGACATCCATACTTAAAACTCCAGTCAGAGAACAGAACGTCTTGGGGATTGTGCTTCTTTGCAAAACAGGAAATAGTCTATTTTCTTTGCAGAGGTGTACCCACAGGGCACACATATTCCTGCTGCTGGGAAGGAAAAGCAAAAAGGGGGATTGTGGGTCAAACAGCCGTGTTGTTTCTTAGGAGGGCTCTCGGGCAGCGTAACAGTGCGACACATTCTGGGGAGGCCCTCCTGGGAGGATCAAAACAGGAAAACGCCAAAGTAGAAACGTTGGTGCCCAAAACCCGGCGTTCAATCACCGCTCTGACACAATGGAGACAGAAGCCGTCACAGAAAACGAGCGAGACCACCAGAGACACCAAGAGGAAGCAAAAACAAATGGTTGAATGCTGACATGAAATACTGCTCTGTGGTTCGCCTTCAGATAATCGCCCATTTCTATTATTCGCACATTTCCTGACCTTGTTTTTGCAACTGCATGACAAACGTGACGGTACATTAGGGAAGTGAAGGCTGATCCTTGAGACTTCTGCAAGATGGATCGTGTGTTTGGCACCGCTTGATTTGGTTCCCACAGTGATTAATGGGCCGCTGACGACACGCACATACATCCTGGATCACATCGATTGAGTGAATTCAAGCCGGACTCTGTCACTGAGCTCCTAATTGGTAAATGGTTAGTGTGCTTGTAGTCTTCAAGGTCAAACGAGCTTTATCTTTTTACAGTATTTCTGAGGATATTTACATGCACTCCAGAGGGAGTTTCATCAATCAGTGCTGCTATTGATTTCCTCTACGCTCAGCAGTCAAGGCTAATCTCTAATTTAGCAGGAAAACGTGGTTATCTCGATTATTAACCACAGGAAAGGTCACAAATGATGTTTGTGTGCTTCTACAGAGCTTTTAGCGCATCAGACAGAAGTAGCAGGTTTGAAAATGATACGGAGAGTGTGATGAAGCCGGGAAGTAAAAGTCATAAAGGAAAGTTCCAACTTTTTGGGGATATGCCATTTCCTATTCTGTTAACACTTAAAGAAACAAGTCAGCCCTGCATTCCAGTCAGACCTCATGTTGGAGCTTTAAAACAGGATATTGAACTGGACTATTTGTTTACTTGGAAATAGGGCTGGGCGATAAACCGAAAATTTACAGATCCCGAAATTTATGACAATCACCAACGTCATTTTGCCCATATCAGTATATTTGGTTTCAAAAATAAATAAATAAATAAATAAAAGTTGGTTTTGGATGTGTGTAGGTAGGCTATGGTCTCATGTCCCTTTAAGACGCTGTCCTACATCAGAGACGTGACTCCGCCCCATCGAAGGAGGGAAAGACAGGTGAGGAGATGGAGGACGGTTCAAAAGTTTTAGTGGCTGAAGTTAATATAGAAGGAGGTGAGCAGCTTGTGGAGCAGTTATCGTCCATTTATCGCTATGGAGGTGAACTGCTCGATATATCGTGATATTGATTTGAGGCCGTATCGCCCAGCCCTACTTGGAAACCACTGTATCTACCTAAAGCAGCAAACTCTGGTGATAAAAAGTGAAACTAATGCAGAAGCACTTCCACAAGAATCCACTTGAGGCACCAAAAACAAAAGAAACCCCACTCAGGTCTATGTCAAGATGTCCATTTTCTCTATTCCTTATTTCTGTTCCTCGCTTTCAGTTTCCTCTGACAAACAGACTGTGCTGAGCCAACAGAATAATATCTTGATCTAAATTCTCAGAGAAAAAAAGTTGTAAAACTTTTCCACCCCTTCTTTAGAGGAGTCCATGTCTCAAGAATTTAGATAGTTTTAAGAGAGAGGGAATATCTGGAGGACAATACAAGCAAGACATTTCCTCAGGTCTCTTAGTGAGTACTTCTCTCAGTGTTGTCAGTGCAGGGACAAGCTCAAGGTGTATCACAAATGCTCTTTTATGTAATTATGAGCGTCAACATTGTTGTTAACTCAAGAGCTTGTAAAATCCATACATGGTTTTTAAAGCTTTTATTTATTTAGTTAATCCCTCTGGAATCTTTTTTATTCACGGGTAATTCATTAAAAGCTCGATTTAACAGTTTACGGAGAGGGCGAAATGTTCTCATTAGTTTCAGCAGATGTGGCATCTCATGATCCTTCTGCCATCTTAGAAGAGAATCCTGATGTACTCGGGTTTACAAAGTAAACGCACTAATTTCCTATGATGGGATAATAAGACTAAACTGATCCTGTTCAACCATGACGTTGTTCCTCCTACTGGGTCTGTCATGCACTGATTTCACATTCGTCCTCACAATGACCCTCTCAAAATCTACAAAGTCCAGTCACTCTCTCTGCCGTACTATTACAATCACTGCTCTGCACTTGCGCTGCACCGCACCTGCGCTTCCTTTCAACCCTGCAGCATCCACCTGCAGGCTCCGGATACACAGGGCTTAAGATATCATCTCATCACTCCGCTGTTTTCTGCACGCAACATAAACCCGCGAGAAGCCGGAGCCAAGACACCAAAAACAAACAATGCTATAAAGTTCCAGCTCAAAGCCGCGATTCATCCTGAGCCCATGTGTATCTGATCACATCTTACCTCCAATTGCGCTACACCTGGAGATGATCTCCCACAGCACAAGAGCCATGGAATAAACATCAGCCTGTTTGAAAGACTCGATGTTTTCTAGGTTGATTCTGGACTCCAGCACCTCGGGGGCCATGTACCTGGCTGTTCCCACCTACGAAAACAAACAAGGGAAAAAAAAAATCCAGTGTGATCAAAGAGCATCATTATAACCTGATGTATAATTCATGTCTTAAACAAAATGCTACGGCCCCTAAAAAATAAAGCCGTTTGAAACCAATTACTATTTTTGTTTTCAACAAAATACATGCAAAAGGTATCCGGTGTTATTTACCTGCCGCGGTAATGCGTCCTCTCACATTTACCTGAATTAAACCACGTTTGATGTATGACATGATTGGAAAAACAAAGGTAGCTCTGCGAACAACAGCACGCCGCTTGTCTGAACATAATAACAACCTTGGAAAATGAGTTTACGGGCTGCTCACTTGAAAATGTAGTGAAGGAATTACAATGCATTAGGTGTGCTGCGCAGCAAAGGGTGAAGCCTTTTCATAATGACTCATTCTCATAACAGAGTGTAATAAGACTCTTGCCTATTACATCAGGGTAATGAGTCCATTAAGAATCAATCAGGCCTGTTTGTTATGAGAGTATAATATAACATCAACCCTAAGAACACTTACAGCACTGTTTCTATCAGCATTATCCATCAGGGGGCAAGATAGAGGGAGTGTATAATATTTAGAGATGGTGTCCCTGAGTGATGAGATCAGGAATGAAAGTTTGATTGATAGCGCGGCTCTTTTCACGGTCTGATAACTTCAAAGATATAAACCACAGGGTTCGATTGGTTTGTGTCTGGGGTGCCAGTGCAAATTATAACAGAGGAGGAGTTTTTTTTTTCTTTTTTCATCTCTGCAGGGACCGAAGCCAAGAAAAACTAAATTAAACTCCCAAATATAGGATTAAAAGAGGCCTCACCTGCCCGCTGTTTGCTAACTCGTCCACAGATAGAGTGTTGTCCAGGCGGAGGGCGAGGCCAAAGTCGCACAGGCAGCACGTGAGGTCGCTTTTCACCAGTATGTTTGAGCTCTTAATGTCCCTGTGAGCGATGGGGATCTTATAGCGGCCACAGGGGGTGTGGTCGCTGTGGAGGTGAGCCACTCCTTGGGCTAGTGAACCCCCGAGCAGCCACAGGTCATGCCAGTTGACAATGTGGTGAATCAAGTATTCTTGCAGATTCCCCCTCGGCTGGTAGGCTGTTATCAACCAGTACTGTCTCTGCACCTTCCTCTCCTCTGCTGTCAGGAAGTGAAGCACATTTTCATGCCTCAAATCGGCGTCTGAGAATATTTCCTTCTCATTCTTCCACGATGCGTACTCCTCATACTGGAAAATCTTAACAGCGACGGTCTCGAAGCCCTGCTCCTCGCTCACAGTGGAGCCCTGCTTCAGCTTGGCTTTGTAAACCTCTGCGAAGCGCCCCTTCCCGACCTGGACGTCCAGCTCGATGGGGAGCAGCTCCGTGTTGTGGTTGAGGTTGTTGGCGTGCGTGGAGCTGCTGTCTGAACCTTCTTCGTCTATCATGATGGCGTGAGCGTCGCTGAAGTCCATCTTGCGTTTGGAGCTGGCTTGACGTTGGCGGTAGACCCTGTAGCAGTAGAAGGAAGTGATGACGACGACCGCCATGACCAGCAAGGGCACCAGGCTCACCAAGATGACCGCAACCACCTGGGAATCCATGTCTGAAAGGACAAAAGATGATGTGAAGAATCAAACCTCAACTCAGCGGCCCCTGTTTGAGTGTTTTAACCTGTTTCAGCTCATTGTTTTGGTTTTATGCTAACGCTACTGTTTGGCCCCTCGGTATCACTTTATTTGACGCCTCTCTATGACGCATTATAAATATATGTATAATGTGTTATAATCACACTATAACACTGTAATACTATAGTTATAAGCACTCATAAATGATCATAATGCTTTATAGCTATAATCATGACACATTATAAAGCATTTTATCATGACTTACAAGGTCAGTTATAACACATTATAATACCTGACCTTGTAAGTCATGATAAAATGCTTTATAATGTGTCATGATTATAGCTATAAAGCATTACGATCATTTATGAGTGTTTATAACTGTAGTTACACAATGCTGTAGTGTGATTATAATGCATTATACATATATTTATAATGTGTTATAGAGATAGGCGTCAAATAGAGTGTTACCGACTCCTTTTCATAAACCCTGTTGCGTATGATTACAACAAAATCAGTCTAATAATATCCTTTTGGAATAAATTCACATCTCTAAACCAGAAACTGACAAAATAAACTATTAGGTGGTGAATAAATCGGAGCATTTTTAAGATATTTTAGTTTGTTTTGAATCTGTGTAAATTTGCATTCAGCTTTTTTAGTATTTTCATAGGTGTAGGTGTACTCCACTGTGGGAAGTACAAGCTGTGGAGTAATAGTGCATTATTGTGAAGTTGTTTTTATACTGTAGTGCTTTTAGCTTCTAACATTTTGATATCCTAATTTAAAATTATACAGTTAATGTCACTGTGAAGGTTCCTGGTGTTGTTGCACAGTGGTTATGTGGACTAGCTTGAGGCTAACTCTAGTACAGCTGAAAGGCTGTATGCTGTCTCTGTCACAATAAACGAAACTAAAAGAATAAAAAGAAACATTAATATTTGATTCAGTCTGTTTTATATTAGATACAAACTCACTCCAGGAGGTTTAAGTAGAAATTAACCAAAGGAACGGTGCTGATCCAAAGAGAACTAAATAAGGAGAGTGAATGCAGTATTTAGTGATATGTGAGTGTTGCTGCCTATGTGGTTATAAACAGGAAATACAGCTTTAAAAAGTCCATCGTCTATGTCTGATAAAGAGTTTTAATATGACTTCAACACACTTTCTCTGCAGCTGCTCCTAACCTTTGGTTACGTCATTTCAGTTGTGTAAGCAGATATAGTTATTATAGAATTAAAGGCTGTTTATGCATATTTGACACTTGATTTGCTGTTTAAAACACTGAAAAGTTTAATAATAGCTTTATTTTCCATCTAATTTGTAATTTAAAAACAACCGGACGTTTTATGATTGGCTTGGATTTGTGGTTTTGTCTCTGTGTGAACATTTTCTAAGCCCCTTTCAAACACTGTAATTTTCCACTTGTGCGTTTTGGAATGACTATAAATACAAAAAAAAAAGAAAAAAAACCCAATTTGTCTCCCAGAATAAAAAAGAAATGAAACTCAAATTCCGTCTCAGCAGATTGTATCAGCAGCATCTAGTTAGGAGTAAATTAATATCCTCAGAACAGCGGGGCAAACTGACCCCCCTCCTGTGGAATGTCTGGAAGCATCTAAAAGCTAAAGTTAGCGCTCGGGCCACAAAGGCAAAGTGCTCCAAACCCTGACCCAGCCAACCACATATTGTTTCCCTTTACAGTGTGTCTGATTCTTACAATTTTAGCCGCGGTGTGTCTGGGAGCTGCTGCGTTTTTGGCAAACAGTGAAAGTTTATGCTTGTGTTGTGTTTAAGGAGCAGTTTTTCAGACTGCAGCCATAAAAAAAAGCTTATAAAAGCTATTTTTCTAGACAGAAAACCCAAATTGGTCCGCAGTTTGATGAGCTCCGAATTTAATCTTTTACACAGTGTCTACCTCCTTAAGTGCCTCGTGACTTTCTTGGGCTTTTCTTTAGATTTCAAACACTGTATGCTTAAAAGTTTACCATTATAAGTGAATATCATTCGTGAGGAGACTGCAGATGTGAGAAAAGAGATGGGTTAAAATAACAGAGGAGGTCCCAGCCCAGTCAAACCCTCAGCTTCTCTCTATTTTCTTTTTACTAAACAGGAAACCACATGTCTGAAATCCTCAACACGGCCCCGGACAGTTTGTTTTTATTCTCACTGAATAAGAAGCTATTTCTCACAACAGATCTGTCACTGTGCCTCCTGAACTCGCTCGGCTTTGGCCAAAGCACTCACAAAAAAGTATGAATTATTAAATGTTCAGGGGAGAAAGGTTACTGTGAGTGAGTTTTACTGTTAAATTCAGGAGGTGAGGATGTGGTGACAAGCGATTAAGACCTACAGTTGGATGTGAAAATGAAAGCATGCTTTGCATCGTGGGCACACTCCACTTTATTTAACAGTGAATTAGATTGGTCTCTTAGTATGGCAACCCTACCCCCTGCTTATAGTTTCTGGCTTTAAAAATAACAAAATAAAGATAGTCACCCTTCCTCTCAATGGTCTTGTTTGTTTTTTTGGGTCACAGGGAGGCAATAATACAAAATGTAGTCTATTTTACGACCAGTTTAAAACTCTTCACAGGAGCTTTAAACTTTAAGCTCTACTAACAGATTCATGATTGATAAATATTTAAGACAGTCACCTCTCTTTACAAGCTTCCTGTTCCCAAATCTGGTCTCCCTTGAATCCCTCTTGCCAGTACAAATAAATTCTGTATGTGCCATCCTGACAAACATAAGGCCCATTGGCTTACATGTGCAAGAACTCCGAAATAAGTCAGCTGACATGGGACCCGGGACTTCCTCTAACTTGTGTCCTGGCTGTTTTGTTTTTGCAGTGTCCTATATTTATCCGCCTGTCATGGGAACAAGATTTCTGTAGGCAAGAGTTTAATCAGAGCAACAAAACAATGAGACACTACTCGCAAGCTGGTAGAAATTAATTGAAGTCCACTGCTATTGTTGCCTCACCGTTGTTATTTCTGCCACTGCTCCTTCATTACAACACTGTCTCATGAAAGTTGCTGGGAAGTTACAGAGAGAGCACAGACATTCTCGGCAGCGAGCTGTTGTATTTCCATTACGTGATTTGCACTGTGCAGATGCTTTCAATTTGTGCACAGCCAGGTCGCAGAGACGTACCTCAGTGTTATTATTACTGCCTAGATGCTGTAGTCAAAATACATCTGATTCCAGGGCCAATGTTGTAACCAGATTCTACCAGTCAATGTTTCCTGAGCCTGTTGGTAATCATGTATCTGGAGTGTTATGGTGGACATGTGTTTGCATTCATGCATAACAAGCTGATAGGAGGTGGCGTAACAGTATTAGGTCGACCATGACTACATTGATTTTTTCAAACATATATAAAAATGTCCTGCTAGAACTCAACTGCAAATAAACTGTACTCGGGCAAGAGCGACAGACAAGAGAAGAAAAGGTATAACATTGTTTAGTCGGTCAAGACTGACTCATTGTGTCAAATCTAAATCATATGGTATCGTTTCATATTGTGTTGAAATGTAACTTATAATATCTGTCGTATCTGTCCTATTGTATTGTATCGTATCATGTTGTGTTGTGCTGTACAATATCATATCATATCTTAACTTATCATATTGTGGTGTAACATAACGCATCATATTTGTTATATCCATCCTAGCATATTGTATCGTAACATAGTGTAACGTGACGTAATGTAGCGCAATGTAACATAACATAACGTAGCGTAATGTAACGTAGCGTAATATAACAGAATGCAATGTAGCGTAATGTAACACAACACAATGTAATGTAACATAACTTAACCTAACATAATGTAAAATAGCATAACATAGCGTAGTGTAAAGTAGCGTAAAGTAACATAGCATAAAGTGACGTAACGTAATGCGACAGTACAGTACTGTTATGTATCATACTGCTTTGTACCATTTTTACTTTGTATTATGTTGTAGTATTTTGCATCTTTGTATTGCTTCAGATTTTGTTTAATTACATTTTTACCATACTGCATCATATCCATTGCATCATACTGAATTACATTATATTAATATGTGATAGTATCACATTGCACCACATTTCATTACATTACTAAGTGATTCTAGCAGTAATGAAAAACTTAGCTTATCATTATGACTGGGAAAAAAAGGGTTAACACCTTACTGGACTTGTAAACGAGTCAGTTTTGTTATTGGCTTGTTTGGTTTGCTAGTTCAGTAACCTTCAACAACACAAGCTCGCTACAAGGCACATGCTCACATTTTGGTCCTGAGGATGCTGTAGCGCTTTATTTAACCTACTGACATGACAACAGTGTCAATCATCCCATCTTACCCGTGAAGCCATAAACACATTTCTCAAAATTGTTCAACTATTCGCTACAGCCAGGAGTTTTCAGTCACTGCACGTTGTTCAATCCCCATCATATCATATCAAAAAGTAAAATTACAAGAATGAATGTTGTTTGAAAGTTTGAGAGGTGGAGAAGAGAGTGAAATAATCGTGTCTTAACTTACTTGAGTTGAAGAAGACGTGTTCATTGCACTCGTCCACTGAGCAGGAGCAGATAAAGAACTGTGAACCCATGCCCTTTCTCTCTTTCATCTCACACTTGCTGTTGTTGTGATCCTCCAGGACCAAACCGTACAGCTTCTGAGACGGGCTGTGGCAGACCGTATCGAAGGTGACGTTGTCGTCTTTCTTTCTCCTTAGAAAAGGAAAACACGCAGGAGAAAAAGCTGCCATTTACTGGATTAAGTTTGATTTGTGCTCTTTGGCAGCGAACTGAGCATTTCACAAATCTGTATTATAACGTAACAAGTCAGTGTTGGCATGTCTACAGTTGTGCAAATAAAGCAATTTTTCAGCCGTGCAGTGATTAAGTGGTGACTGCAAAAGTCAAATTTATCTTTTTCAGCAGTCTACAGTCTCAGCAGTATGTAAATGGCTCAACACAGAGGTTACGAACAGCAAGAATTTTTAAACGCCATCACAAACAAGAAACATGGAAAACCCTGAAACTGCACAAATATACATATTTAAATTTTGCTTCCCCACTGAGCGAGGATGTGAGAAACATCTTAAAGAGGTGCTGCTGTCCGTATGTCGTTAGCTTTCTGCTGACCTCAGCTCATAGCTTGCCCGCATCGCTGCTAATATAATGAGAAACAGCAGCACGGCCTAAAGCTTTTAACACCAACGCAAATCGGCCTCCTGCTGCTTTTCACGTTGACAGTCAGATTCCATGGTGATGGTGCTCACATACAGTCATAATCCAACTCACTGACAGTGTTCAGAGGAAAAGGTCACTCTGATGAACACAATCTAGCACATTTCCCAAGAGCAAAAAGGTACCTGATCCGATTAGTGTTTAAGTATCTATTGTTCCCTTATGTTACTATTCAAAAGCTCCATGTGTTTAGTCATTCAACCACCTTTGCACTGATATATGTCAAGACACTCACCAGATACTGACACACACGTCGTCGTCACTGGGGCAGATGGCTGTGATTTCACACTCCACCTTGCAGCTCCCTTTCCCCGTGCAGCTGGTTGTCCGGACATCACAGAACTTGCACAATCTTTTTATTTTCATCCTGTTGGATTCTAGAAAAAGAAACGATGATGAGTTTCTCAAAGTGGGGCCTGCTTTTTTGTACATTTACTCCAAATTGGACAATAATTACTGCATTGAAGATGACCTGAGGCCGGGTCGCTGTTAAAAACACAAACTCAACTGGGAAATGTTAAACGAGGGAATAATTCAGCTTAGAAATGGTCATTTTCTCATCTGGCTCTTTAAAGCCGAAAGTCTTTGAGCAACCATGGTCGTCACCCTGAGCTGATGAATAGACACAGTTTATGTCGAGAGCACTACAGCACTCATTTAACCCTGACAATGAAAGGCTTAATCCTCTTCATATCGTCTCTAAGTGTACCTTTAAAACATTCTTAATGACTCACATCGCCTTTATTTATTGATTAAACTCAACAGCTTTTGATATTCTCAAAATACAAACATGACCATGGAGTTTAATAACTAAAACTCTCAGCATGAAAAACATAAAAACTCTCATCAGCTAAAGAGTTTCTTCTGGAATGTTCCAATAAGTAGCGGATTTTTAACAAAACCACAAGAAAATCCAAACTATTTCATCCCAGAGGGCCGGACGGATTTTTCCCCTGTGAAGTCTGAACAATAAGAGCAGAGCGCAGTGGCATCCACCTTCTTTGGTCATGTTCAGACTTGACTTTGCCGGCAGGCAGGCAGCAGAGCCGTATCAGTGAGACAGACAAGATTGTGTGATGAGTGCCTGTGGGTTTGATAATCATCTGAGGAGACAACTGGCAGACAGGCAAGAACAACAAACAAAAGAGACACGGATGCATCCCCTCGCTGAGGAGTCTCTAATTTGTCACGCCGATGAATCGGCTCCCCATCTCGAAAGGTGTCTTGCCAGTTCTGCTCATGAATATCACAAAAAAGGGAGACAGTGTCTGTGAATGTTTAGCGAGAAAAAAAATTGGTGTGCCTGTGTTTACATGTTGGTGAGTGTTTGATTCCAACAGATATTCTTCGACTACAGTTTGCACTTGCTAACCATGAAAAAAAATAAACCAGGTACACTCCCTCTGTTTGGTTTACGGAGGGAGAAGTTGAGTAAAACTCTCCTTTTCCACCACATTAAAGCACAGCTATAGGAGCAAGGAGCTGGAAATTACCCTAATCAAGGATACTCCAAATTTCCCAGGATCAATTTAGCACAAGTGGGTGAGGCATCATCAGGAAGGAATGTCTCTCAAGAACAATCCCCAGTGACTCTGATGGGTTTCTTCAAGTGTACACAAAGAAGACTCAAGGAGCACCATTTAGACACAAGCAGGCCCCTCACATGGGTTAATCAAGAGATGAAATGGATGAGAAAGAAATGTTACAAGTTACAAACTCGTGTTGAGAAAGCATCTGCAAGAAAACAAAAGAGGAAATGACAAAACACGTGACAGCTCTGCTTAAGCAAAAACCACAGAACTGTACTTGTGTGCTCCACGTGGGCAGGAAGTCGAGCTTTGCAAAATATTACATAAACCGAAAGCAAACTTAGGAGAAAAACTGGGTTATAAACTGAAGTTTAAATATGAAATCCGGATAAAAGAACCGTAAACAAACATATGTGATGTTTCAGGAGCAGACGCTGCTTGTCTTAAAATGGCTCTAGTTGCGCCCTTGATCACATGACCACAAAGGGAGATATTTCAGAGTGGGAACTGTAAGTAAAACCAGACTACTCAGAAGTTTGAAGAGACAGTGAAGAAGAAAGTTCACCCCTGACTTCACATTAAGTAGAGGAAAAGGTGCTGCTTGTGTGTGGGTTTTAACACCTGAACAAAAAGCCTGGTGTGTCAAACCATCAAAGCTGCCGGGGGAGTTAGCTCTGTAGACTGAAACTCTGCACAACCTGCGACTGTAGTGAACTGGGGGTTGATGGCATCCTGTCCCTGCTGCTGTACTTTAGTCAGATGATGAATGAGATAACAGGAGCTGATTGCAGACGAGCCAGCTATTTGAACTCGCTTTTGTCCGCTTGTTTTGACTGTAAAAATGTCTCATTTTGGGAACCTAAGAGCCAAACATGGTAACACTTTTGCATGCTGTATCAATCATCTTCATTCATTAATAAATTGTCAATCATTATACTTTTGCATTTGTGAGTCAAAAGGTCCAACTCACTAAAAAGAGCTGAAATGCTCAATCCTCACATTGAGCATTTAAGGATATTGAGGATATTAAAGTTATGCTCTGTGGTAGGAGAGAGTGGGGTAAGTTGAGCCAAAGGGTAAGTTGAGCCACCCCCTGTTGCTATATTATCAAGACAGTTATGTTTACACTCATTCTGTTGGTTTTGCAGGGATGCACAACATCTTGAAATATATTCAGATACACTAATTAGAGACAAAACTAAGATTGCCTTGTAGTAATGACCTGAAATATGAAAAATGGCTCATCTCACCTACTCTCACATCAAATTACAGTACCTCAGCTCTTGACCGACCCACCTAACATAGAGGTTTGGAACTCTTGGTGATGGTTTGAAGTAAATCCGCACTGAGGGGGACAGATAGCACATAACTGAGTGGGAAGGTGGTTGAGCCAGAGTAATTATATCATTAGAGCAATCCTCTGAAAGAGCATGTCATTTAAACCCAAGAGGCGGTGCTGTGGAGGGGATGAATGGTAGTAATTGTCACCCAGGGCTACATATAATTGCAGAGAAGGGGGGGAAGAGGATTTAGAGCAGCCAAAGCCACTTGGTGCCTCTAGGACTGAGTCTGAGGTACATGAAGGTAAGATAGTATACTCTATAGGGGGGCTGGTGGACCCTAAGCGACGTGAGTACACCTCAGAGATGCAGATATGAGAGGAGCCCACGTACAGTTAGCTAAAATAAAAACTTCAGGCGGTGTTAATAAGAGGAAACTCACATTTGTTTTAATCACGTTATTTAAATTTAAAGTGATACTAACTCTTTTGAAATACAAAAAATTCAAAATAAAGACATAAAGCTCTCTATTTATGCCAAAAAAAGACGCTTTAAATCGCACTAACAGTTTATAGACGCAGCCTCACGGTTACGTCGCAGCTTTAATTAGACGCAGCCGTCGTGTAGTTTTTTTGGCAACTTTTCTCAGAAACTTTTAACTCACCCGCCTCCTCCAGCAGCAGACTAGCAAAGAGTATCGTTCCACACCAAAAAGCGGAAAACCGAAGTAGCTCCATTTAGAAACGGACTAGACGCTCCTCTTTCTCTCATTAATTAACCGAAGAAGTCTTCACGAGTAAAGATATCCAGACTTCAGAGTCCGCCTGTTGCTCCTCTCTGAACTCCCTCACAGCTCCGAGCAGAAGGAGCAGAGTAAACACACCAGGCAGGACTTGCCCTATATGACTCACAGTATGTGTGCACTTTTCATGAAACAGGAAATCTTCTAAAGGGGTTGGACAGTTTTTTTTTTTCTCTCTCTCTCTCTCTCTTCTTCTTTTTCTGCCTTTCAGTCATGCTCTTATGGCTCACAAAGTCCTGAACCATGTCATTAAGAACTTGAAATGACATGCTCGGAAATAGCTAAAGCAGCGGCTTCACCTATAGAGTACAAATAAAAGCAAACACCCTTATTTACTTCAAAGTAGGCACACCTTATGGAGGAGAATACTTGTATTTAATTTTATGACAAAATGATCATTTCTCTGCAGTAAAGATTCCTTTGCTGCTTTTTCTGGAGAGGTGCCAAGCTCTCACTAAATTAAAGCTGACATGAGAAGTGTTGAGTCGGTCCATATCTCTTAGTGTTACTTTTTATCGAAGACACACAGAGGTTAAGTCCACTCTTACACCAATAAATTACACGTTATTGCCGGGGCTTTGCAGGCATGTGTTTTTGCTCTGCATACTCAAGGTGTGATGTCAGGTTTCACTCCTGACCTCGTGACCCCGGAGCTTATAACTCTCCACACAGGATGTCTACTCCCTCTTACGCACTGCCTTGCTCAGGTTTATAATCAGATCTAGCTGCTGAGAGCATGTTAGAGTCTAGGTGAAGGGGGGTAAGGGACGCTCCCTACAGCTGCAGAACTTGGCTTTGAATCATAGATTTTTACGGGTTGATTTTGAAGTAAATTCTATACCAACCAGTGTTTATCCTGCACTGTTTGAACATTATTTAGAACAGGGGTGGGCAAGTAATTTTTACATGGGGCCACATGAGAAACCTGAACTGAGTTGGAGGGCCGAACCAACAATAACTTTAACTTCAAATCAGGGGGTTCACACATACAGAAAAGCAAGAACTACTGGTAAAAAACAAGCCCCCAAAAGCGCACCCACGACTCACGAGTTTTACAAGCGACTTCTGGGAGAAACAAGCCGAAAATTGTTTATAATAAACGGACTTGGCAACTCTAAGGCGTCTACGAATGTTTTGCCGATGTTTAAACTTGTCTCTGTTCATGAATGCAGATCTAGGATTTACGCACGTGTGTCCAAATGGAGATAAAACAACGGCTATGTTTTCATGATAAAAGTGACACACTTTTATAGCATGTTGATGATTTGATTGACAGACCACACGAAGGGCCGACGGGGACATCCAAATGCCCAGGTCTGATTTAGAACAAAACCTTAAACTACATGGATCTGTTGTGGTGGTATCAGCAGCATAATAGCCTTAAAAACTTAACTGCCATCAGATTTATTATATTTTCACATGGTTAAATATTTCTATTTTTGATAGTTTGATCAATAACTCAAACCCTAATGTCTGTGTCAGTGCACAGTGAAACCTTTGTGGGCACTTATAAAACACAAATGACCTCAGCTGCCATCCTAACAGGAAGAGAGGCATGGAAATAAGCGTTACTGCATCCAAATGAACTGATTATGAAAGAGATATGTGTTTCTCAAAAACAGTATAGCCTCCTGGTAGAGGCGGATTGTTTACATGGCAATTGGTGATAATGTTGCTCGCCAAAATGCTCTCGTAAACAATGCTAACATCAGGACGTAAAATATATGTCACCCTACTCTAAAAGAAAAACAAGGTCCTTTAGTTGAGCTAATTTAATTTTGGTGAATATATTATTTAGAAATGGACTAATACTGCTGGTGGTTATTATCTTGTCTGCTTCACAATGTCAGGAGAGAGATTTCTTTCAGCCCGTTTCTTTGACCTTATTTTACTTTGGCTCTGATGGGCGAGTGCAGTGTGTGTGTGTGTGTGTGTGTGTGTGGTGTTAGTCTGAGTCTGTGTGCCAGGCAGTTGTTCAGCACTGCAAGACAGAGTCCAAGCCACAAGGTGGAGACCCGACAGCGCTGTGGACCCAAAATGGCCTTCCCCGACTGACCTCAGCAAATGTGGTGTCCCAGAGGTTCATAACATCCTGCTCCCTGACCACAACACCCAAACAAACTGTGACTCTATCTGCTTCATTTCAACAGGAAACACCCAGAAAAGCTTATTTAAACATGATCCGTTTGAGTGTTTCTTCGTGTGCCTTTTTTTTTTCTTTCACTGTTGCTTTAAGCTCTCTCCGTGAACAAGTTTCTCAGTATTCTCCTGATTTAAAACCTCCTCTCTCCTCATTGCACAAACACAGATAAACAAGCGGCAGGCAAACATCCTGAGCGGTATTATGCTCGATAGCAGGTGGTTGGCTTTCCTGTAAACTGCTTTGGTCGAGTGGAAAGGCAAACAGAGCAACCTGATGACAAGTCTCTGGACGCATGCCTTCAGATAACACCGATGGCAAACAAGCGGCGCGCTGCATCACATTACAAAGACGTTTGGAGGTGTTGGTCTCTTAGCACCCTTCTCTGGGCTTTTAAAGAGAAAAAAAAGGTTTAACAAGCACAGCATCTCACCAACACACTCGATTTTATGCATATACTGTATGCACATTCCTTATAGGATCTCTCTCCCCCGCACTGTGTGCCAACTGGAGGTATGCCACAGGAGGAAACCTGAATCATCAGTCAGTACCGAGTTCAGGGACTGCAGGTACTGCAGAGTTACAAAGATGCTGGATTGTTGCTAAAACTGTAAATGAAATCTAACAGTTATGCAGAAGTGCGGCTTTGAAAAGTTGTGTATCATAGCAGAAATGGTTTTAAAGTGTTTCCCTTGATTGTAGATTTTGAGTCTGATTTGAAAGACGATCGAAGACAATGAAGAAAAATCACAACAGAGGCTATGCAGCAATCATAAAGGGGGTGTTTTAGAAAAGTTTGCATTCTTAGTGTGGGCCAAAAGTGTAAAAATGAAGTATTTTTCACAATGTGAAACTCATAACTAACATGGCTTATCACCTTTTTAAAACAGCGAGTTTAACTTTGACTTTGGTGCTGCATGTCAGCTGGTTGATTTCCTAACAATGAGGTCTTAAAGTGTACAACAGGCCCACCTCAGGGGTGTGTTTTGTCCCCTTTGTTATTTCTGTTGTACACAAATGACTGTCAGAGTAAGTTTGAGTCACTGTTTACAATTAAACCTGCTGACGAGTCAGTGATAGTCAGGACCGCTGCAGGACTATGAGGTTGGCCACAGTCCAGATCCTGGACATTTCATTAAACAGTGTGATGAATCTCGCATCTTAATGTCTCCAAGATAAAATGAAATGTTCATTCATTTTTCGTCAGGCTCAATCTGTCATCAACTTAACTGTAGAGACAGAAAGCCAGTAGATATACTTTGGTATAATCCCTGATGACAAACTGAACTTTGAGGCCATTTATATAAGAGCCAATCAGAGACTTTTCTTTTTAGAAAGTTGAGAAGTTGATAGATCATCATTTATTGCTTCTATTTTAATGTCAACACTGGAAGAAATCAGGTCACATTGAGGATAACTTGTAGAAATCTCTTAGGAGTTTTCAGCACCTACAAAATACATGTACTTTCAACTCAGGGGGAGGTTTGATTATTTTGGTAGCTGATGAATTTGCCAGTTGACTGGTTTGAAAAGCAAAGCAAGCGACTGGTTCATTGCACACCAGCCACCCTGTGTTGTCTTTGTGTAAGAAAGTCTGTCTCACAGGGTGGTCCGTTTGAATAAAACTCATGCGAGAGGTGAAACATCTTAAAATAAAGACTCCAGGCTCATGCATGTCAGAGACAAATGTAAAACTACTTGCAAATTACTTGTGAGAATAATGGCACAAAACAATCAAGTAATTTTAAATCAGCATCATCTTCAGGTACACTGCACATGATTAAGATCCTCACCAAGGATGAAAATGAATTATTCGAAGTATGGAGAGATTTTTCCCCTCCCTTTGAATGTGTTTTATGGTGTAGTCAACCTGTGAGGTGAATTTGCACCGCTGATACGCCTCTGGGTTTTCCTCCTCATTCCTTTAGATACCTTCTTTACCCCAGAGAGTTCACGTCATCGCTCAAAGTATTTTAGTCACACGGCAGAGGATTCAGAATGGAAAGAGTCTTCAGAGGATTTAAGAGGGATATGGGTTCATTCTAAATATACAAGGGCAGAAAGTTAAAGGTGAAATGGTCAAATCAAGATCTATCTACCTAAAGACCGACCGACTGACCAACCTAAAGACTGACCGACCAACCTAAAGACAGACTGACCGACCAACCTAAAGACCAACCTATAGACTGACCTAAAGACCGACTGACCAACCCACCTAAAGACCGACCAACTGACCACCCTAACAACCGACCGACCTAAAGACCAACCGACCAACTGACATAAAGACGCACCGGCCGACCCACCGGCCTGAAGACCGACCTAAACACTGACCGGTCGACCAACCGACTGACTGACCTAAAGACCGACCAACCGGCCGACCTACCTGAATACCGACCTAAAGACCAACCGGCTGACTTACTTAAAGACCGACCGGCCAACCTACCTGAATACCGACCTAAAGACAGACCGCCCGACTGACCTAAAGACTGAACAGCCGACTGACCTAAAGACTGACTGACCAACCGACCAGCTTCATAAGGGCAAGTGGAAAACCAGTTTAAAGGCCGAAGTTAGCACTGACAACGTTTTCACAGCTTAAATTCATCGTTAAAAAGAGACAGATGCACAAAAACCTGTGTAAATAATTCCAAATATACAGACATAGCAATGTACGGTGAGTAACGGAGTAAACACAGCATCTTTCTTTTTCGTTTTTTGCACGCGGCTAACCAAAAATTCTATCAAGACATCGAGGAAATCCGACTCAACTTGTCCTGCCACTGAGTTTAGTTGTGCGCCCAACACAAACACACATGGACGTACACATGCAGCCCAACTCGGTACCTTCCAAACGCCCACACAATGAGCTGGAACAGTTTTCTTTGTGCCATCGGTAAGCCCAAGGAAGTTGCAATGGCACACACGACAACAGCTCCCACCTCCTTCCACTCCTGCAGCCGGGCTTTGTCCGACAGCGTTAGTCAGATGCTGTAAAGGAAGGGAAGGTTTATCTTATCATCTTCAAAGGTTACAACCTTTGATATCGAGACAATGTTCGAGCCATTGTTCTCTGGCAGAACATCGATAGGTGTCCCAAACAGTGCTCAAGGTTGTTTAGGAAAAAGAAGTCAGGGAAGAGGAGCAAATTGTGAGAAAACTCTTTGGTGCAACTCCCATCGCTGTGTTACAGGGAGCGTCCTGTTCCTTAATTTGGTAATAGATATTGGTTGTCTGAACACTTTAACCCCTACACATGATGTACTTAAGTCCTGGTATTGATTGGGCTGACAGTATTGTAGACCTACAGATCTTTTGTGTGCTAAACTTAGAAGATCATAAAGTTACAAAAAAGAGGAAAGGAAGAAAAAATGAAAATAAAAGGCAGAGAGTGAAAAAGAACAAAAGTCACCCTCGTCTCTTTTCTTCCATTAAAATGGTTTCATGAAACCATCTCTCTGCCTTCAAGCACAATGCCCCTCATCAACCATTTTAGTGGCTTTTACCACAGATTCATCCCAAGTATCTAACTGCTCTGTGGGGGGCTCAAGCCGAGGATGATGGCCGTGCAATTCACCAAACCAAAATTACAGGGTACGGACTCTGCCTTTAACAAACTGATTCAATATGAGTCCCTAATGTGGCCGCGGATACAGTTACACACAAATGAAACCCAAGTGTTTCTTACTGAGAGGAAGGAAATACATCATATCAAAGAATTTGGTGCATACTTGAAAGGAAACGTGCTGAGCGTGCTCTCGATGCATTAATCACAAATTTACAGCGAGTCCTGCAAAGCTTACAAACAAACCAGAGTACCAGAAAGTAAATCAATGCATTTGCAACTTAATGGGCTAGTTTAGAGGATATTCCAGCACAATCTGAAATAAAATATCTCCAGCTGTGAAATGTTTGAATTTCATTTTGGTTTTAGCAAGCTAAGACTGAAAACTCTAGTACACAAAAACAATCACAAATGTATGAAAGATTAACATCGTCTCATTAACGTCAACAATTACTTTCTAGAGAGGGATTTTGAAGCCAATTGGTAGGGGTTGCCAAGTTGGGAATACTGATTCAATTTAGGGTGATCATACGTCCTCTTTTACCCGAACATGTCCACTATTTTGGGGGGCTGTCTGGGAAGTTTTGTCTGGGAAGTTTTTAAAATCCTTCAAATGTCCGCAGTTTTGTTCGTAAGCTTCGTGTCACGTGAACTTACTGAGTTAGAAGTGCGTAAAAGACACTCAATCTGACCCGAAAAACTCTCAGAATTAACTTTGTGCAACTCTGTGCCTCCGCCCCCGCGTAGTCGTGTCCCCTTTTTGGGAAGTCAGAATATGGTCACCCTAACGCAACCAAACTTTCGGTATCAAAGTGATGATGGTGAAAACCTACGCACAGCTTAGTCATGTAATCATCAAAACAGACAAGTTTTAGAGAAAAATCATCCTGTTTACAGTGTGAGGAAAAAAAGACAAGAGCAAGGGGCGCCATTAGCATTGCACTTTGAGCATGTTCTCTATGTACAGAGGCTACGGTCCATGTTGCACTGGTTGTGGGATTGATCCTGGCATGATTTGTAGCATTAGCTTGCAGTTTTAACAATCTGTTTACGTACGAAAAACAGTAATTCATGGAGTTTAATAAAGCTAATCTCTTGTACTTTTAGGTCCTGCTGGCATACTTAGACACTAACATTGTACATGTTAATGTGCTATAGCTAAACTTGAGCATTTATGACCATTATTTTCCAAGACATCTGCTCTAAATTAGACTTTTACCTGTTGCAAGTTTTAATCATACATAAATACACACTAGTATGAAATAACATGTTCGTGCACGATGCTGTAAAACCCAAACCTTTAATTTAAGATAAATTTCTCCTCAGATCTCCGCTGTAACCTTATAACTTTCGTTAAGGCCAAATTTAAGCGGTTTATGTAGATCTGTAATATACAAACAGCATCCACTGATTCATAGTTGGCTCATTGTGGGATGCAGCCTGGAGATGCATGGGGATGGGCGTATGCAAAGAAAACCACGTTTCCAATGACATGCAAGAAGCCACACTCCAAATACATTCAGCGAGCGAGCCCAGTGATCATGGTTTCCCGAGAAACCCACTTCTAATAAAGCCTCAACATCAAACTGTTTGAAGGGCAGGTCCTCCGTGGTCTTCGCAGCCACAAGCGTATTTACAAACATCTGCAGATTCCCCCTGATGAGACCAAAGATTCTGCCGTGGACTTCTCATGGGAAAAAAAAATGCAGAGATGGAGATGAAACAGGTTTTGAGCCAAACAACATCCCGCAGTAGAAACAGTAGATGACAGTATACTAATGTCACACACACAAAGAGGCCCTGCTGGACTCAGAGGGACACGTGAGAGGGTGGCTCACAGGAAGCAAGCATTTAATTAAAACAGCATTTAAAAGGCAAAGTTAGACTAATGAATTTGTTAGCTGATGTACATTAATTCTCTTGGACATGTTTAATTTTAATTATCATACAACTAATTCATATCTGCGTATATCTGGGACAGAAACACTGACATTTTTCATGGGTTACATTGTTTAATTAATGACTTTGATGTTTTTTTTTCAATGACATGAGTGTCTTAATGTTCTCATGTGAGCGGCACAGTGTCGTAGTGGTTTACACAAGAAGGATCCAGATAGGGTGAAGAGTTAGCAAGTTTTGCATGTGTTGATATACTCACAAAGTCGAAAAACATTGTTAGGTTAAGCACAAGATAATTGGGCTGATTTGGGGCCTGGCTCCTACAGTCCAACAATAATCTCCAGAGTTTTTGGATGAGCTTGCAGGATTTATGGCTGTATAAGCATGCACTCTCTGAACTATCATGTAGAATAAAACAACAGCCAATCAGGCTATTGGATGCCATTGGTCCTTCATGATTATTTACATGAGGGTAGTAGAGCAAAATAGCGATCTGACAGTTGCAGAGACTGACTTTTCCATAAGAAACAACCCAAGATTGGTATTTCAATCTTGAAATAATAAAAGTATTTGGTAACACTTTACAAGTAAATAAATGGTAAGCAGATAGTTTATTGATGTTTAATCATCATTTATAAATAGCATACAGACCATTAATAAATTGTAAATTTTACAATTTTAAAAACCTAACCCTAACTTTACAGTAACCATCTGAGTAATTTTTAAAGATGGTTTAAAAACCAAATATTAACCATTTACAAAGTGCGACTGACACATATTTTAATCTAGATGTTTTACAACCAATATTTAAAAACCCTATATAAACCTTTAATAAAGAGTCCATTAATAATTAATGAAACTTATTAATTATAACTTCATTGCTTGTTAATGGTAAAGTAACTATTAACTTACATTAATAAACTATCTATTTGCCATCTATAATTGATCTATGTGCTATTTCTAAATGATGATCGAACATTAATAAACTATCTACTTACCATTTATTAATTATGGTTATTGTAAAGTGTTACCAAGTATTTGTATTGTGTAATTTAGAGTAATTCTGGTGCCTGCTAGCTACGGGGACAGCTCATCTTTTTATAACTACAGAGGATAGAGAGCAACAAATGCAGCCAGGGCAACAATGGTAAACTGAAAGCATTAAGTAAAGTGGAGATGCAGTTTGAAAAGCTCCAGTTTTACACAATAAAAGTATCACTTCTAGTAATGATAGAAGAAACCTGCAGCTTCAAAAAGCAGATCATCATTTACCTACATGGCTGTGGGTTTAAACCCTCCTTATTCCTCAGATTGCCAACCATTACTGTGAATCAAGTGCACACTATCCAGTTCAGAAGCGCACCTGTAAAACAACCTGTAAATACAGGTACAATCAAAGGAATCACAAATCAACAGCCCCTAGCGAACCGTTCATCAGCATCTTACTGCTACCTTTGATCTCAGGCAAACAGATGTATGAGATATTAGATGAAAAAACACTCAGTATATTAGGGTCAACGATATCACTTCCTATGACTGCAGTGCAGATCAGCTCAGGCCAGCGAGTACATGTTGGGTGTGCCAGCAAAGGAAGCAGCACTCATCCTGTGCCACCTTCTGCTCTTGTTACAGGCAGGAAATACCACCATGACCCAACACTGATAAGGGTATGAGCTGAGCCATGGCCGTGCGGTCACAACGCCAGACAATAGAGGAACCATATACTCTGTGTTTATGTTCGAGGGGTTGAGAAAATAGGGAAAAGATTTTGTAAAAAGTGTGTGTTCAAGAAGAATCCTTTAAGCTCAACTCTCCTTAAGGTTTAGAGAAAGGCAAAGCTGACCGCAGCTGTTGGAAACATGGTAGGTCCTATTCGAATAATCTAATGGAAATGGTCAAAAAGGATTAACACGAGAGCAGTAAGAGAGGATCATTTTCTACTTTCACTGGTGAAATGGTGCACAATGTGTAAAGACCACATATTAAATACTAAGACTGAAAATTTTTGATTCATGAAAATGCTTGTTTTAAATTTGATGTGGCAACATCTTTTTGAAAAGTAGGGACAACTAAAGAAGTTGTGTAAAAGTTGTGTAAAAAATAACACAGCTGGAGGACCATGACTCTGCACTGCATGGGCTCAAAACCACTTCCAAAAAGCACCGTTTGTCTCTGCATCCTGCACAAATGCACCATGTAACTGTACCATGCAAAAAGGAAACCAAATATAAACATGAGTCAGAAAAGCTGGTGACATTTCTGGGCCCTAGTCCAAAAATTAAAATTCTTCTTGGAAGTCACGGACACTGCTGTCTCTGCTCTAAAACAAGAGGCCTTACACAACTTTCCATCAGTGCACACTTCAAAAACCAGCATCCCTGATGATATGAGGATGCATATGTAGCCACAAGTTTTGGAGCAACATTTGCTGCCATCCAGACATCTTTGTCAGAGAGGGCCTTGCACATTTCAGCATGACTGTGCCAAACCACTTTCTGTTCATATTACAACAGCATGACTCTGTGGTAGAAGAGTCCGGATGCTGAACTGGCTGGCCTACAGTCCTGACTTGTCACCCAGTGAAAACATTTGATGCATCTTGGAAAAAAGAAAACAATGCCAAAGGACAATGCACAATGCTGAACAGCTGAATTCTCTATCAGGCAAGGCATCTTGGAGCCCAAACTTTTGCAATGGTAAAAAAACTTTACAGTGTCCTAGCCTTTTTGGAAACAGGGTTGGAGTACTGTAAGTATGAGGCTACAGCGAACAGGCATTTAGCTTAGCTGAGCATAAAGTTGAGAAACATGGTAGGGTGACCATGTTCTGACTTCCCAAAAAGAGAACACGACTACGCGGGGGTGGAGTCACAGAGTTGCACTAAGTTAATTTTGAGAGTTTTTCAGGTCAGATTGAATGTCTTTTACGTGCCTCTAACTCAGCCACGTGACACAAACTCGAAACTTACGTACAAAACCATGGACATTTGAAGGATTTTATAAACTTCCCCGGACAGCCCCCCTAAAAGAGGACATGTCCGGGTAAAGAAGGACTTATGGTCACCCTAAAACATGGGGAATCAGTTAGTTTGGCTACATCAACAGTTGTGATTATTTCTTGTTTTTAATTGCAGAAAAGATGTCAAGAAAAAGATTATCAAACCACTTTTATCACCCCAGGGTCCCTTTAATGCACTCTCCATTTTTGCACAACCGAGAGCTTATCCTTACAGTAATCAAGAGCCGAGGGAGTATTCACAGCTCTACAAACAAAAATGTATTTCTATCAGCTTACTGAAAGATTAGAGAAACATTTATCAGCTTGTTTATAGTGGGAGTTAAATGGATGAATTCTGAGTTCAAGTGTTGAAACAAGATGTATTTCAACAAGTGAAATTACCCAAATGTTTCTGGTATCACTTACATCAGTGAAGCACACAGCCAACATGTTTTTTGGCCCAGTGAGAAATATGTCAGACGTTTTAAGATGCAGTTGAAATGCATCACTGTGACGTCAATAGTCCAAATGGATCCAATTTAACGCTTCATTCCATGAGCTTTCCCTCAGCCAAAGCAGTCCTTCTCCCTCCCTGCTTTCTAAATTCGCCGTGACTGTGAACATGCATTTATTTTCAGCCACTCCATGGAAAATTGAGGCAAAGCTCAGCTCTTGTGGAGGACTTTGATCATGGAAAACCTGCGTGCAATTTCTTCCTTTTAAACAAACTGTGCATGACATAAGAGTGAGATTGAATCTCGGCGCGTTCTTGCATAGTCCTGTGGAACGTCCCAGCATGCAAATGACAGGAAAATTACAGTGCTCCTTTAATAGAGCTATTGCAGGCTTTGTTCGGTTCAATCACGGTACTTCAGCTGCATATAGAGCCACTAATGAAGCTCAGAACAGACTGCTGATGCAATTTTATCGAATATTCTCCGGTGAATACAAGCTGCAGAGATATACACACGTCAAAGCTGAATACTGATGTCTGTGTCTGTTGAATATACGGCCTCCAGATAAGATGATTTCTCCATCTGGACAAAAGCATCAATTTCACATTTAGTCATCAAAAGATCTAATGAAGTTCGCTCTTCCTGTTGGAGCCAAAAACGTCATTTTCCCTGCCAGGCTCTATTCTGTGTTTATCCAAACACAGAGACTGCCAGTGCTTTCTCCCTCTCTCTCTCTCTCTCTCTCTCTCTCTCTCTAAGAGGAATTTCCTTGCCGAGTGCTCCCACCACTTCCCCCTGACACTGGCAATGATTTAGATATTTCAAGAGGACAAGCTGCAGAGCTTAAATCTGCTTGGGTGCAATTTTCAGACACAAGAGTTCTTATTTATTAACTTTGTCTTCATTTATTTTTGCTGGATCTCATCACGCGGTCCAGTCTGAAATATGCTGTTTCTCAGACTCAGTCTGGAAATTGGCAAAGTGATGAAGTTGTTCCGACTAAAATCTCACTCACCAAAAAAACGCCTCTGAGAAATAGTTTCTTCCTATCAAGTATTTATGCTGCTGCAGTGGTTCAAAATGGAGAAAAAAAAAAAAGTTCAAACAGAATATCTTCGGAAAACTTACCGGGTCTTTTGTCCAGTTTCAAACTCCCATCAATCCTCTTCGGTTTTGCATCTGGTTGCATCAGCGAATATGGAAAACAGAGAAACAGAAAAACTGTGTTCACTACACTGTAACAAACGGGTCTTACAACATTATCAGCTGTTGCGTGCACAATACTAACACTGTCAGAGATGTGTTGGCCTTTGTTGACATTGTAAAGAGAATTCGTCTTTTCTCCACAAGAGCTGCCCTCTCAAGCTGTTTCCCACCACTCGCCTTTAAAGATCAAAACTCGAAATACTTTAAATGTTTCAGACGGGTGTTGAAATTTGCTTCTCGAGCAGGAAAGAGCATTCACCATGTTCCCCCTGAATGTAAGATTAAGAAATCCACAGTTGAAATATGAGGAATTTAATATATTACGTCGAATTTGCAACATTTATACGTCTCTCTCAGGCGGCAGGGCCGACCGGCTCTCAGCTATAATAGATTAGCAAAGGAAGGTTTCCATAAATGTGCTTTCAGTGTGCTAAGATTAAATTCTGAGTGGGAGCAGGCAGAGCGGTCCACACAGCTCTCCATTCAGGACTATATATTCTGCCATAATGTGTTGGGCATAAAAGCCCATTTTCTCCACAGCAGCCCATTTTCATGCACGCCAGGCCCTGTCCTGAAACTCCGCAGAGGAAATGGACCACACTGCGGCTATTTCCAGGACTGCCTCATTAAAATGCATTGCCGTTATGGCTCAACTTTTACCTCAAGTTGCTGCCTAAGCTCTTTGTTTTAAGTGCAGCTGCTGGGTGAGGTGAATTTTTCCTCCGCCACAGGATTGCTGTAACCTCAGCACATTGTTAAAAGGCGCATGAGGTGAAAAGGTTGAACGCTTCCAATCTGATAAGACTGAAAAAGACAAAGTGTGTAGGGAAATTTTCCAGCTGACCAAACCTTGTCTGCATTATCCGACCGCTTGCCAGACAATATAACAATGATTGTAGTGGCTCGAGAAGGTTGTATGGCACTCACAGGAAAACCGCTAGTGCTACTTTTGGCCATAGCTATCCAGCGGAAAGAGTGTGGTCACCTGAAATCAGCCACAAAATTACAGCTGGCTCTCCATACTTGGGTTTTTCAAGTGGGTCTATTGTGTCTGAGACAATTTACGGTGCAGGAAAAGGAAAATGTAGCGTCAAAGTATGCAAAATATTTCTGAAAGAATTGTTTGCATGACAACAAATCACAATCTCTAAATTGGGGGCTAATCAGCCACAATGTTAGGAACGAAGCTCAGACTGCCAGCTTCTGATACAAACATTTAACACTGGACTATAACAGCAAAGGAAGTAGATTTTATTTCTTAAATGAAAAAATGAGGACCACACAAGTGTCAAAAATGTCAACATTTAATGCTGAACTACACTGCTTTTATTGGGCCATAACCTTCCTCGTGTTTAAGCTACTTCCTGGATCTTTCTGGAGCTTAATAGTGAGTGAGTAGCCTGCAGACGACAGTACTTGTAATGTTATTTATATTTCTCATGCTAGTATGGCGTGTCAGTGCTTCAAAACAAGGGTGTGTCTGTGGGCTAAACATTGTCTGAAAACAACCACACATACATTTAGTCTGAATTTAACCAGAGAAAATAGACTCTTTATGTTGTATGCGGGCCATGATCTCTTCCTTGAATTAGCCTGGTTGTTTAGCTTCAACAGCTAGCTTAGACAAAACCTAAAGAGTTTTTAAATATTACAAGTTACTATGAAGTTCACACGTTATGAGTAACAGCTAACTTGAAAAGGTGCTGTTCTCAAGAAGAGCAAACTTCTTAGGGCGTAGATATTGTCATCATTGACGGCAAGCTTGAGCAGAGGCCATATTAGCTTAGCCACCGAGCTAAGCTAATATAAGCTAGCTGACCTCTAACTGTAGCTTTATGATGAACTGACAAACAAAACTATGATGTGAATCCTCTAAGTTAACTCAAAGTAAGGAAGTGAGTCTTACATGACAACATTTGACAACATTTAACTATTTTCCTGGTCCAATGTGGGTGTTTTTCTCTCCTCTTTACAGAGCTGCCTAGCCTCACGCTTTGAGTGTGACAGTCATGAAATTTGACCCATTTTCAAACCACACTTGACATTTCTCTCACGCTTATATTTCCCCATTCAATACTCTGTATTTATGTTTTTTATGATCATAAACTTGGCTTGCCATAGTTCGAGTAACTCTGATTGACTGACCGAGATAACCAACCCCAGACCAATCCATCAGTCTTTTGTGCCTAAATCTAACCAACCACGGAAGGTGCCACGCAATATAAACCAATCAGAAGCGACGTGAGGTGGGTCTTGGCATCTCACACACAACAGTGCCGACATTTAAAATCCACATGATGTTCACCTGCTCTCCTGAGGACGGACGGTAGGTGAATTAAGACTAGTATTAGGAGGCCACAGTGCAGGGAAAGAAGCTGGCATGGAGGTGGGGACATCAGTCTTAAGGTATAAATCGATGTTAAAAAAGGCCAAATTCTTTCGCCGGCGACCACAGATTGGTGGCTGAACACATCATAACGCTAAAGTCTCAATCGTCATTTTCTGAAACTTGGCAGCCCCGGAACTGACAAACAAAACTATGATGTAAATCCTCTAATTCAACATTTAACTCTTCTCCTGGTCCAATGTGAGTGTTTGTCTCTCCTCTTTAGTATTCTGTTATAGACATTACCTGCTCATCCTAGTCTCCATTATTCATCTTCCTGTCTCCCCATCAGAAGTGACACGTTAAGCCTGCAGAAGAAAAAGAAATGTATTTAAATTAACTCTTACAGACACATTCATCCAGCGCTAATCTTTAAATCTGGCAAGAACCCGACTCCAGATGTTCTCGCTAAAGCAGCGTGCATCTATTAGAGGTAATGTATAGGCGATGTCCACCATCTTTCCCATGCCTTTGCCCTCCCCTTTCTGCTGCAAGTTCCTCTTCAAGTCCTTCTATAGAGTAATGGAAAAGCAGCGAGGAATGCCCTGCTGGCGCTCTAATACAGCATCATTAGCCACAGCAGAGCCCTTTGCCTGCCCGCCTTAATCTTCACCACTGTGTGTACTTGTTGTCCAGCTGGTACCATAGCAACAGCGCTGTGCTCTGCTGAACCTTTGCTATGATATCTGGAGTTTGGAATGGACATAAACACGCATACACACACATTTGGGCAGAAAGACAGACCAACAGGAGGAAAAGCAATAAAGAGTGGGCATTAAGGAGCCAAGGCAGCTCCCAGAGCAGAGCGGTGTCATACTGAGGATAGAAGGGACGTCTTGTGGAGGATCAGTTGGTGTTGGCTCGGGTTTGTCTTGCCGTGATGACCGGCCTTTAATTCCGATCATTAAGCATTTACCAGCTAAACTAGACGATGTTAGGGAATAGTCCCAGATTTGCTTGAGCATTAAAATATGTAATACTGCTCACAGAGTTATGGCAGTGTAGATAGGCCTGTGCACACATGCAATAAAAGACACATTTTTCCAACAGATTTAAACAGACAGCTCTGTGATGATGGTGACAGATAAATGAGAGGAAGTCAATGTGCCTGAACTTTTACATCCATGCAGCTCATTCATTATTCATCGAGGCTAGCACTGCACACATATTAAGACTTCAAAAATACAGGTCAGTCTCATCCCTCTGTAGAAACATGAATGGAGGCTTTTGTCCTTGGTAAACATCAATACATATATGCAGAAGACTGAGTTTTAATTGAGCTCGTTTGCATAAGAGATTACACTGCAAGGGCACATGTTTTCAAAGATCGGTTTTTGAGCCTCATTGCAGTGCTCTGTTTCTGATGGAGACGCGGATAGAAAAGTCAGGGTCGGCTAAAAAACAAATACAGAAATGATTGAGAGAAACTTAGAATGGTTAATTCAGACTTCTTCTTGCAACAACATACTTCAGGTCAGTTTTCTTTTGTCGTTATGCTCTATTTCCCCCTCTGTTAAAGCTGATACGCTGAACTTACAGTTTGAGTTAGTATTGGCGCCCCCTGTGGACAAAGTAATAACTGTTATCTTTTGTCTCGTATATGTTAAAGGGATATTCCAGCGTAAAATTAAGTTACGGTCAAACACATCTTAACACTGTGTTAGACACCCCGTTGACATCTTTTTAGCTTTGCCTAATTTCTTTAGCAAAGAGACTAAACATAGCTCACCTATTCTCTCCCAGCATCCTCTTGTTTGTACCGAGACCTCTGGGCGAGTCCATCGACTGCAGCGGGGTGACGCAGCTCAAGGAAGAACATTTATAATCATTTCTTTATCATATCCTTGAAGTAATAATCACCATATTAATCATTTTGCACTGCAGACGCTGTAGTTCTTCTGCCTTAGCGTCTCGGTCTGATTGCATTTCCATGAAGAAATGATCATAAATGTTCTTCCTCGAGCTGCGTCCCCCCGCTGCAGTCGATGGACTCGCCCGGAGGTCTCCGTACAAACAAGCGGCTGCTGGAAGAGAGTGGGTGAGTTGTGTTTAGACTCTTTGCTAAAGAAATTAGGCAAAGCTAAAAAGATATAGAAAGCTATAGAGTGCCTATTTGGTTGAGTGCATGGCTCTGTGTATTGCTATCTGCGGTCGTTACTAAAGTTGGTATAACTAGAGAAGCAAGCGGTCGGCAACTTTCATCTCTCAACGGGTGTCTAACTCTGTGTTACGGTGTATTTGACCCTAACTTATTTTTACGCTGGAATTTCCCTTTAAAACAGTTTTTTTCAGACATTGTCAGACTTGTTGCTGATGGTCTGTGAGAACCGTGACAGTGAAACAAAATAGTGGAAGTTAAAGAAAATCAAAACGGTGAGCTTTAAGAGCCCAAAACAGCACAGTAAACCTCCAAACCGCAGATACTTTAAGGGATCATTCCTGTGACACTGGGCCAGTTTAGTCCTCCAAGTGTCTGAAGTTGGGAGCGATTATTCACAGGTTTGACTCGTTTGATTTATCAAAGGAAAAGCAGACAGCTCTGGGGCCAAGATTCCCAGACAGCTAATCCCTGCTGATGGCTCTGATGTGCTCTGTTTTGTCTTGGGGCCGGTTGTCTGACACATACACAGACACATACTAACGCAAGAATGAAGTCATACTTCTATGTGGGTTAAATTAATTCATAAAAACTACATTCGCCCCAAGATGTAGTCAGAAAAAGTTGGCACACGTACTTATGCATGTAAATACAGAACATGTGGGAGTACTTAGGAGAGCCTGGACCTCCGTCTAACTTGAACCTCACCTACAGCATGTTGAGTTTGTCTGTTCAGTTCAGCACACAGTCAGCCTGCCGCAGACATAACATGTGTAATGTAGCGTAACTGCAGAGATTATAAAACATTCAGCTGGACTCAAGTAACACAGAAACGGATTTGGAGAACGAAAAAAAGGAGAGAAAAATGTTTGCAGAAAAACCAGCATAAGCAGAGCGAGGTCTTTTTGTGTGAAGTGTAGGTCTTTGTGTTTGTGTGGGTTTAGGGTTTGGACCACTGACCCACAGCACCCATTCCTTTCCTCCTCTTTACAGTCCACACCCCTCTGCAGCATCTTAGCGTCAGTCATCACCGACCTTTCGCAGACTGAGACACAGCACTTCTAACATATTTATAGCCTGGTATTTCCCTCCCTTGTTGCCCTTAACTAAGTCCACCTTCCATTGTTATTCCTCATGCAGAGGGCATGACATTTGTGGTATATGCTGTGTTCTTTCACCACGCTCTCACAACATGCAGCCTGATGAGGGCAAAGGGTTATCCAGCTGACAGATGAACTGAACACCCAGGGATATGAAAAACAGGAGGACCAGCAATAACATCCGCAACATTACGATATGAATATGGGGTAAAATAAAATGTGCAATATGATAAAAAAAGGATTATATTCTCCATTTAAAAGCATTGTATTAATTGTATTAATTTACTTTAATTTACATTGTATTAGTTTATTTTTAGGGTGATTTTCTTTAGCCAGTCCTGTCAGCCTTTAGGGTGCTGGAGCTGTGTCACTTGGATTCTTTGGTTCTAGATTTCTGGAGCCATGGGCCTCCAACAGCTATCCTCAACAAGGACCTTGTACCCATGTTTAACATCACTCAGGCTCTCAAAATATGTGGTGCTTTGTTATTACCCTACATGGACTCTCCTTCAGGTGAACAAGATGCAAGCAGAATATTGACGGTTATATGTACTTGAACAGTATTAGACCAGTCTTTGTTGCACACTGATGAAGCTGTAACCCAGATCTGCAACCAGTAAAGCTTGTCAAAATGATCATTCGTGTGGACCCTCCATTCTTTAAAGTGTGAACATGGGCTAGGCATCCTTACATTTACATAGGCATTAGTCTAAAAAGGGGCCTTGGGGGGAAAAAACAGGTAGAATAACTTGGTCCAAGATAAACATAATCTCAAATCAAATCAGATCAGATCAGATCAAACAAACTTTATTTCTCTGTTAGAAATTTATTTGTGTGAAAGCTTCAAAGTAAAGCCAAAATACCGTCTTAACAGGAGCTGATATATTTCTCTGCTGATGAATTTTGAAGCCAAAGCGTTAATAGAAAAAGTTCTGGCTGGTTCGGGGATCGATCTCACACCCGCTGGACTGACCAAAACACTCACTGAACTCACAGATAAAACATCAAAGATCACCCGGGGCGGTGTAGACCACGACACAACGAAGATTTGTGTTGATCTGAAGCAGACACTCACGGCTTTGTGTCACTTTGAGTTATGTTTCCTTTGAACGCCTCTTAACAGAAAAGAAAAATGAACTGTTACATATAAATTAGGATGATAAGAACTGCCCAACATGACAGAAAACATGTCACAGAAATTATTATTTGAGGTGTATTTTGAGTTTGTAAATTAACCTATGTCCCATCTGTTGACATGGAGGAGACGGCTTTATGGTCTGTGCTGCAGTAACTCACTACATGGACTAAGTGCTGTATTGTAATTTGTATTGGATGTTTTCAAAAGTAAAAACTTGGTTGAATCTGACCTTGAGATAGTGCTAAATAATGCTGTTTCTACTTTTAAAGGTCCCTTAAACCGATTTGTATGAGGTGGCTTTGGCGCCCCCTGTGGACAGAGCCCTCTTTGATGATACTGATTCAGAGAAATTTCTGTTCTCGGCAGAACAATCTCATAATCTTCAGATAATTACTCCTCTCAGAAATGATAAATCCTGCTGCATGAAATACACTATAATTCATGCACTTTTATCTAAACATCTCAACAGTTTTGAGTCTTATTTTCAGAATTAAAAAAAAAAGACACTTTTTACACTTATTTCACAGTCTAGGAGAGAGAAAAAAAACACGTTAACTTGACCTTCAGGTTTGTCTGGAGTATTGCCAGTAAATCAGTTTTTTTACATTTCCATTTAAAGTTAGCTGTAGTGGGAGTCCATTCGTGTTATTTGCAAGTCTAATTTTCATGCAGTGCTTTTACACACTCACAAAAAAAGGTTTCTTGATTTATGTCTGCGGACAGGCTGTTTCTACTTGTTAAATGTCTGACTGCTCAGTTAAACTGATCCTCTTTATTTAGCAGCACAGGCATGAGAGAGGTATTGATCGCTCTATTTAGCTCTCCTGAAGAAATAAAATAAGAACATTTCCCCAAATGTGAAGCAATCGAATTTTAATTTTATTTTAAAACAGGTGAATTTCTCTAGATAATGCAATATTTACTCCCTTCCATCTCATTTAATCTGTCTTCTTAAGGATACTCTGCCGGCTGAAAATGACTCAGATATGACTGGAAGCTCTGGAAGAAATCATTAAGTTTAATGTGTTAAAGGAATTCTTTAAAGGCCAAGAATAAACCGAATCAATCAACATGCAGCTTGTAATTTAAAGGGGATGTACAACTAAAATAACCATCATGTTCCTCTCCATCGTATATTTTCCTCTGGGTCACATCTGGAGGAGCTGAGGTGTTTTGGAGACCTTTGTAGAGCGAGCTGTATTTTACGACCTCACATGTCGGTAGCTTAACACATGTTCCCATAACGGCCACACAAATCTGCAGCATGGGGGGGTGCAGGGTCGGCCCCTGGAGCATGTGTGGTCTTCCTCTTGTTACCGTGACGACTGTTTATCCACCTGCACACTGCTGCTGTAGATCACATCTCTCAGCTCGGAGCTGATAGCGGGCTATTAGGCTCTCATATACAGCCCTAAAGGTCCAACAGGCCGCAGAGGGAAGAGGGGGATGATGAATCTTCCTCTCTGTTCTTTATTTTTCTTCTCTCTCTTCTTATTTTTCCTTCTCTTCTGCGCTAATCCTTCCCTTCTGTGCTCTCTCTCTCTCTTTCCTGTCCTTCTATTTTTTATGAACCCTTTCTCTCGCTTTGTTCTGCTTCTATTCATTTCCCTCTAAAAGGTGTTTTTACTTTGTGACACTCTTTTCATGCTCCTTCATCGCTCAAATTTAACCTCACTTCTTTCCTCTGTGCACACACTTTCTCACATACACCTCCTGTTTTCACAGCTGACTTTATTATGTGGCAGTGCCCTTGACCTTAATTTCAGAGCTCCACTCACCAGCACTTACTGTTTCCCGGGTTGTGAAAGTTGTTTAAAAGCATCTCTGTAGACTTCATATTTGATTTTATTTAATGCTACTGCGCAATGCTGGTTTCAGGAAATGAAGAAAAATCGCAGAAATACTGAGAGCATTTTGGCTTCAAATCTGTATACAGGTGGAAGGCGGAACCAAGTTGTCCATAGTATTTACAGTCTGAACCCAAACATAGAGCGGCTTCCTGCACCAACCACATCTATTTTAACTCTAATATTATTAGAAAATCAAATACAGTTTTAATTCTGTTTGGATGTAATTGACTTTTGGAGGAGAACCCAGCTTCTGTTGTTGGTTAAGTTCATCATGTCTCTCCATCTTTATCCTCCTGGCACTGTTGCTGAAAGAGACATCTGGTCTCAGTCATGACTTCCTTTAACAGATGAGCGGTGCAGTACTCTGTCTTAATGTTTAAAATCTATACCCTAAATGTAAAACCACCTCACTTTTGTCAGACGTAGTTCAAGGGAAATAAAATAACATTTTATGTTTGGTAAATACTGGGGCAGATTAGAGGAAGTGTCACCTCTGACAAGGAAAATGCCAATCATAGTTGAAGATTTCAGGCACTAGCAAAACTGGCTAAGTGGTATGCTAAAAGTTGAACTCTTTTTTTTCATGGGGGCAACAGAAATTGCTGAAACTATAGATGTCTTTGTACTCAGGACGCTGAACTGTGTTCTGTATTGTGTTAAAAATAACCACAAAAAAAAAAAAAAAAACTGCTAGTGGACACGGACCCTAACGCAAAAAGCTTTCATGAGTGCGGCTGTTTGATTTACTGCTGATTTTGTCAAACAGTTTCCTCTGTATATGTCTAAGATAAGAAGTAGAGTCTCTTCTTATTCATAGATGATTATACCCTTGAAAAACTTTTTAAAATCAATAAATTATATTAAATCCTGGAAAAAAATGTACCTGTCAAGTTGGGAACACAAAGCAAAAAGAAAGGACCCAAATGCAGACGAAAACAATGACATATTAATAAAGGACTAAAGGAAAAGTCCAACAAAAACTTACCCAGAAAGTGTCCGAACAAATCCAAAAGTCCAAAAGCACAAGGAGCAAAGTCCTGAAGAAACTCAAACTCACTGGAAACCAAAAAACACTGGATCCAAAAGACACTGGAGAAAATCAGGAGGAGAACAGGTGGGGAAAACACACATTGACTTGGATTAACATACAGACGTGCATACAACGTGAGACACAGGTGAGACACAGGTGCAGACAATTACTGAGGAGGGAAAATACAGGAAGTAAAACTCAACTAGATACACAGGTACTGACTCCTACAAAATAAAACAGGAAACACTGAAAACTAACCACATACCAAACAGAAAAGCATAACAGGAATATAAGAGTAATGGACACATGGGAACAGGAACAATAGGAACAAATATCAGCAAATACTTCTAAATAACAACAACAATCCTTAAAGACTCCTTTAAAACCTCTGTTTTATGATTAATTTTGTTGAGCTGCAGGGATGTGGAAACCGGATAAGAAAATTGAAGACTTTTATTTCATTGCAAACTTTTCAAATGACCCTTAATCTGACCACGAATTCAGCCAGAGTGATACCTGCAGCGTTGGTTCAGCTACAGTTTGACGGTGCTTGAAAACAAGCTAGAGAAAACAGTATGGACATGTCAACATATGCAGCTCTGAGAGGTTAGAAACCGGAGACATCTGGGAAAAGTTATGTTATTATAAGCCTGTATTCAGTGTCGATAAATTGAATAGATTTAGCTGTAAATAGTCTTTGCGGTAAACTTCCAGCTGTATTTCCCAGAGATGAGAACACACACACACACACACACACACACACACACACACACACACACACACACACACACACACACACACAGAGTTGGAGGCATTGTTAGGGGTTTCTTTTACGATCTCAGCTTCAGTGGGAAGGAGAGTAAAGGTCAGCTCTTGTGTCCGGCCTCTGAGGAAGCTCCTGTCCAAACATGTTCATATTCTCACACAGTCAAACACATGTACACACATTTACACATACACACACACAAACACAGTTAGACATGGTATCTGATATCTTTACCGTCTCTCTATTGGCTGAGCTCATCTCTAATCTTAGATATGAGACTCAGCGCTCAAGGATGAAGGTGTTCGATCAGCGGTACATGGCTAAGTGACCGACCAAAAGTCTGTGTTTTAAATTAAAAAATGAACAAATAAACATGAAAACACACCGTCTTCTGAATAAAGTCTCAGCTTCAATCATTTTTCGATCATGAGAATTGAAACTTATTCCATTCCCATCCTCTGCACCAGTCCCATCTGAGGAAACAGATGCTTTCTCTTAAGTTGTCCTTTCACCACAAGTTACCTTGAAATACAATTCTTCACTGGAGTTATCTTAGTAATAATGATACCCAAAAGTAAGTAAGCAGACAATCGTACAGATTATAAACATGCCAACTTTTCCCCAACATCAAAACCTGAAGCTTGGAACCAGAGCAGATGAAGGATTGAGTCCAACCCCTCGAGATCACAGCTTCTCCGGACTCTTCGGATCACAAACAGACTATTTTCAGTCGAAATCATTTTGTTAGATAGGGGGAAAATGACGGGAAGTGGTTTATTGTTGTAAAAGCCATGAGCTGCTTTCTTCACACCCTCTATTAGCACCTATTGTCACCATCGTATTGAGAGCAGAGCTGGGCCGCTGGCACAGACCCGCTGCGCTGCCACCTGGGGAACAATTCCTTCTGAGCAGCCCCCCGGGGTCTCCGGGGATGCAATTGTTACACTAATGTCATTGTAAACTTCAATAGGCTCTGGCGCGTTCCCAATTCCTGCGACACAATGATAGTAATTCATCATGGGAATATTGAAATGGAGCTGATGTCAGACTAAATGTGTTGCCAGAGGAGCTCTATTGTAGATTTAGGGCGAGACATCTGTGTTTTTCATTTGTTCTGCTGACGGCTTACAGAGCACATGTGGTGAAGATGTTCACATGTTTTTGTTTTGATACATGTGAGACGCCAAGACTGATAAAGCTCTACACAGGTGGAACAATGACAGATGGATTTAAAGCTGCAATGACTGACTTTGGCCAGTTGGGGGCAGAATTTTCAACATATTAACTACCCTTTTTAAGACCCATATAGTTGGCTACTTACTATTAACCCTAGAACACTATTGCTAAAATTAGTAATACCATCACTATTGCTGGGTGATTTTTACCTGAGATAAGATACCCAAGAAAAAGTACTTGTCATCAAAATAGGACAATACATGACAAATTAAAGTAGTTTTTATTTTATTTTTAACTGTGTCCAAAGGAAGGGGGAAAAGTGCCATAAGGGGACCATATAAAAATGCAATAAAATAACTGAAATTAGGCATTCATGAACACAAAATTCCTGAAAAAATATAGAAACTGTAAACTTAGTTTCTTTTCCACCCATTCCTGGGGCATCTGAGTCTTCCCTGGTGAAGACTCAGGGTCTTTGGCACAATAACAGCTGCAGGAGAGAGAACCAAAATATGGCAGATTTTGAGTGAGTAAAAATGAGCAGATGACTAAAATATTTCTTATCACCATATAATTTCCCTTAAAAATCACTACTTTGTCATAGTTATTCATAACCACTGCACTAAATAAAGATAGCATGCAAATTTTACTGACCTTATTCACCTACATGCAGCTATCAAATCCATCCAAACCAGTGGCGGCTGCTGGTCTTTCAAGGAGGGGAAGCTCATTTTTCTGGCCTACATCATAATTGTATTTGTTTATTAGTATGTAACAGAACAGAGTCGCCAAACACAACGGCAGTCGTTTTTAACAAAGACAAAAGTCGCTGAGGATCGGTAAAGTCTCCGGAGCAGTTAAGAACAACGGAATGAATGACTTGGAAAATGCTCTGGTAGATGTTTTATTCTTCAAGATCGCTGATTCGCTTGTTTAGCTGTCAATCAAAAAAGGATTTCGCCTCAGACAGCTCATCCAATCATGAATGCAGAAGCTTGGAGTCCGGGAGAAAGTCGGGACCGCCCTCTCGCCATAGAACTCCAGTGAAGCTTAGCTTCCATTGGGCGGGACAAAGCCCAGCATTTATCCAATGAGCGTCTAGTTTCGCTGCTGGAACAACCCACTTTAAGCTTCCACATTGAAGTCAGCAGAAGCCCAGCGTCCGACTGTTTGAAGCGCTGAGGCGCTGCGAGGATGAATGAGAACGAAGTTATGCCGGTTACCTGTGATTATCAGCTTCTTATCACAGTGTCTGAACAAAAGTTGAAGGCTTTCTAGTGCGTATTTAGTTAATGAAATGTACACACAGCCGTACGTATTTCACCACTTTTTCTTTTTTTGGGGGGGTGACATTTTAAGGGAAGCCGAGCTTCCCTTGCAGTCTTAGAGCAATCGCCACTGATCCAAACCTACTTTACCCTCTATCACTATTACCGGGTGAAAATCACTCTGTGAACACGTGCTTGTAGGAAAAAGCAGGTTTTGGATCAGGGAAACAAATATGCCTCCAAAGATGTCAAAGGTGATGCTGAAGCTACTTAGGGACCCGTGATACCCAAACAAACGCAACATAATGAAAATCACCCGCTGATAGTGTTCTCGGGTTAAGTCATTTGGACAGCGAACCAATATCAAACCAAATTAGCATTAATAAAGGTTATACTTTGGTGACCATACAGATGTAACTGAAAATCTCCCTTTTTTCTGATCTGAATGGATCAATCTATTATTTGTATATATAGATGTTGGAGTGGGAGAGTGATGGGCAGTCTACATAAGCTTAATTATCCGCTCATCAATATTCAACATTTGTTATTGCATCTGTTTTGTAACACTGTCTGTGTGGTTGAAATTTTAACATCCTGTCTCTCACAGGGCAGATAGTCAAGTAAGATGATGTGTTGAGTGTGCTAAATTTCTAGAATAGAAATTAGAGTAAACATTATCATTTTCAGAAAACAACTAAACTAAAATCCTGCATCAAAATGATTCAAAACTAAACTGAAAGTGAGAAGAGAAAGTCAGAATTAAATAAAATGTAAACAAAAGAAAATTTCAAAACTACTCAACAGTGGTTTCTGTCACAGTTTGGAAATAATGACAGCTCCTGGGCACAGATGTGAGGTCAGTCTGAGGAGCTACATGGGTCTTAACCATGTGGGAGAGGCGAAAGTGAAGCAACATCCTTTCCTGCAATCCAGGAAATGACAGCAGACCTGTTGACTCGATCTTAAAGTTACTACACGGCTTAAACTCAAACACAGCGACTGTGTTTAACTTTGTGACATTTGCATCATTTATGTTCAAAACTCAGAGAAAGAGAGCTGATTGAAGATTGAAATGTCAACATCTATATATCCCTGCAGAAGCTGCTCGCTCCGTCTAGTGTTACCTTCAGTGGAGATGTTCAGTTTAATGTTAATTTCATCCCTGAGGAGGCTGATAAGAATTTGTTTCCTTGGAAACAAGAGCCCTCTGCTTCATATCAGTGTCTTGCCGGTAGAAAAAAATAAACAAAAAGATCCTTTCTTTCCCAGAAATCACTATTAGTCAACAGGTCCTGGATAATCTCAAGGTCTGGCCATGACTAAAACCACTTTATGATCTGAAGTGTCTGCTGTAATTCCACTGAAAAAGGAGAGGGCAGGTTAAGTTGAACTTTATCAACTTTCAGAAAAGTTCGTCTCACTTGGAGGTCTGTTTAATGTGAAAACGATCTGACAGCTGGGTGTTTAAAGCGAGTCAAACTTGATAGTTAAGTAGTGTTGTTATAGTGAGAGGACCTGTGCAGAAAACAGTCTGATGACAACCCCAGAGGAAACTACGAAGGATCAGACTCGAGCTATTTTCAGATGGACATGTTACACAAGCGTTCATGAGACTAACAGACCCACATGTAAAAATATGACTGCTGCATTTCCTGACTAATGACATGCCCACATTTAGCTGCATGTAATGAGGTTTAGCGGCCTAATGTTGCATTCACATATTACTAGATTAAGCGAATAATGAATTCCCCCTCAAAACCCACCAAACCCCTCATGGGCATTATTTAGATTTTAGCTCAGCAGTGCAGATCCCCCCTTAGTTTAATTACGCCTCTCTCTTAGTGAAGTGTAAGCTAATAAGGGGAGCACCAGGTGTGTTTGAAGCTGCTGACGTTCACAGATTCTTGATTGGATGCAGAACTTGCCTGGACTGCACCTGGATGCTCTGAGTCATTTGAGG